ATAGAATAGAATAGAATAGAATAGAATAGAATAGAATAGAATAGAATTCTTTTATTGGCCAAGTGTGATTGGACACACAAGGAATTTGTCTTGGTGCAGATATTCTCAGTGTACATAAAAGAAAAGACACATTCGTCAAGAGTCAAGAATCTTCAGGTACAACACTTAATAATAGCCACAGGGTACAATAAGCAATCAAATCATACTAGGAAACAGTCAATATAAATCGTAAGGATACAAGTGACAAAGTTACAGTCATAGAGTCACAAGTGGGAGGGGATGGGTAAAAAGGAGTGATGAGAAGGTTAATAGTAATAGTAATGCAGACTTTGCAAATAGCTGGACCCCTCATCCCTCATCCTTTTGTTTTAATGCTCCAAAGGAAGGAATCCTAATTTATTTTTTGTGCTGGTACATTTTGAAATGTTAGTAAATGTGGGGTTGCACAGTAAGCCTCCAGTGGAGGTCACAGTGTCACAAGCAACATTGTGAAACAAACCATGTCTATTTCCTATGTAGTGTGCCATCACATGTACTCCTTAAAGGGGCAGAGCTTGCAATCCAATGCTGCAACACCACTTCAATCGTGCTAAAGAAAAGAACGTGAGCTTGTAAACGCACTCAGAAAATGGCTATTGTGTGTGGTGTGCATATGCGTGCAATGGCAGCCATGGAAACACAATCAGCATCTGCTTCAGCAGGCCAGCTGGCAGGGATGATCCCGGCCCTCGTTTCCTGGCATTTCTCGTAAGATGTTCCCCGTTCTCCCGCCCCCTCTTTTATTTGTGTTTTCCCCTCCTCCCTGGGTCTGCCTCAAAAGCACTGGCTTGAAGTTACTCTCTATTTTCATTTTCTAAAAATGACTCTGACCTTCTGATTTGAAAATAAAGCCAATACTATGGCAGGATGCCAACTTCTCTTGAACAAAAAATTAAACAAAACAATTGGATAGATCAGAAAATCTGGCAGGCACACACACACATAAAAAAAAGTGCAAAGCTAGGTTTTGTGGCAAGGAAATGGAATGACTTACTTGTGTCCCTTCCTGTACTTTTCAGAATCTTGCTCAAAATGCAGAAGAATGTACTCCCTCGCTCAAATGGTAACAGATAAGACATGAAAGATATCTACATGTTGTTTATGTAGAGAATTAAAATGCAAATTGGTTAATGAGGAATTTTAATAAAAGGTATCCAGATGGTAAAGGAATGAAGCGTATGCCAGTTCTATTTAAAGGCTTCCTCGGGGCTGAGAGAAAAGCATGAATTGTTTCAGATTATGCCTGTCTCTTTCATGACAGTGTTAGTTAATTCTCAGAGAACTGTGCCAAAAGGAGCTTGCAACAAGAAAAATGAGAAGATACTTATTTCTCTGGGAACGTTCATTTGGGCTGGATTTGGTGCTTAAATCCGGCCCATGGGGCCGGGCTTGAAATATCAAGGGACCGACCCACAGTGCCTCTGGCGGCTAAAATGGGTTGTGTGTGGCCCCCTGCTCCTTGCTTTCACTCTCCATGGCCTCCTGCAGCACTTTGCTGGCTGAAACCGGACCAAAAAACAGGCTGAAAATGAGCCCAAAGCAGGCCCCAAATGGGCTGAAAAAATGGGCCCAAAACAGGCTGATAAATGGGCTGAAAACAGGCCACAAATGGGCTGAAAATGGGCCATGCGGTCCATTTTTGGTTGGCAGAGTGCTGCAGGAGGCCATGGAGGGCGAAAATGAGGCACAGTGGGGATGCACGCATTCTCCCCACGCCCCATTTTGGCTGGCAGGATACTGCAGGAAGCATCTGTCCTGCCTGCCTGCCATTCCCCCTGCCCCTCTACCACTGCCCCCCCACCCCGCTGCTGCCCCACAGAGGAGAACTATACTGCTGATCTGGCCCTTGAAGAAATCCAGTTTGACACCCCTGAGGTAGAGCAAGGTTAAATTATAGGCGAGCCATTAATGAAATAGTTTTCATATGACTGTATTTTGGTGCGATCAACAGTCCGAAAAGTGCTTCTGTATTGGAAGACGCCCTGAATTATAAAGTAGCCAAGCTCACTTTAGCACACTCATATAAGTGGAAGGGAAGTTAAACGTGGCTTAATGTGTCTTGTGAATAAAGTCTTAATAATTAAGCCGAGAAGGGAGTATATAGTATCACTGGCCTGAAGCCCAAAATGGACAGGTGAGTGAGTGGCTGACAACGAACTGTTAAAAAAAATGAGGTGCAGCAATTAAACAAGACATAACAGGATCCACACTGCTGAAGAATAAAATGACCTTGGCTTGCTCACCTGGAGAAGGTGTCTTGGGATTCCATGTAGAAAAAAGCATATACAAAAAGAGGAGGTCAAAGAACCTGAGGCAAACCCAGAAGATGGAGAGACAACATCAAAGACATGCTACGACAGCATCAAATAACGTTGAGGCACCAGAAGAGCTAGAACCAGAAGTACATATTTTCCTTGACACCTGAACGGTAGAAGAGGAAGTAGAAAATACTCTTATACCTCCTTTAAAAACAGTGTTACATGTTCTTGAGATGCTTCATATATTTACATAAAAACAAGTTTTAAGATGTTGCAGGGCTAATGAGCATATCAAGCTTCATTCTCCAATGCTTTTTTATGTTTGGCTGAAGAATCTTCCTTATCATGCAGAGAACATTCTCTCAACCAGTTTGGTCTAGTGGTCAAGGCACCAGACTAGAAAATGGGAAATTGTGCGTTCTGGTGCTACGTTAGCCATGAAAGGCAACTGACCAACTTTGTGCCAGTCACTGCCTCTCAGCCCAATCTACCTTCACAGGATCGATGTTGAGGGGAAAATAGGAGGAAAGAGTATTGGATATGTTTGCTGCCTTGAGAGGTGTATAAAAATAATGATGGTGAGATATAAATAAAATAAAAATGAATAAAAATAAGTAGCCAACAAGTTGCCATTGATCTATCAGGGGAGACATGATAGCACTCTTCCAATATTTGAGGGGCTGCCACAGGGAGGAGGGGATCAAGCTATTTTCTAAAGCACCTGTAGGCCAGACAAGGAATAATGGATGGAAACTGAAGGAGAGATTTAACCTGGAAATAAGGAGAATTTTTCTGATAGTGAGAACAATCAACCAATGGAACACCTTGATCTCAGAAGTTTGTGGGAACTTCATAACTGGAGGCTTTCAAGAAAAGATTGGACTGCCATTTGTCAGACATGGTGTAGGGTGTCCTTCTTGAATGTGGGGGGGGGGTTGGACTAGATGACCTACAAGGTCTCTTCCAATCTGTTATCTGTTATTGGAAAATGTCAAGTTTCCAATATCATAGATGCTAGATCCCTTTAAAGCAGTGGGACCTCTATTCCAAGTCATCTAGGGCTGTATAAAATTGGGAAGAATCATTTTTCATCACATTTATTCATTTTTATTTATCAACTCTTTTCATATTTTGGGAATGGTATGACATTCTTTCATGATGAAGAGAATCATCTGGTGTGTTGATTTTTACAGAAAGCCCTGATTAATGACATTGTTTCTGTTTTGGAAAATGAAGAAAAAAAATTGCATTAAAATTCTGCTTTTGCCACGGATTGTGGATTCCTATCTTGCTAATGTACAGGAAAAATATTTATTTCTTTATCCAGGACTGAATCATTCCACAAAAAATTATTTGGTTCAGAGACTATAGTGTTTTTTTTTGAGTAGTAGCAAATAATAAGTAGCAAAGAAAAAGGCATTTTCTTGCCATGTGCCATTTCCATTAAAACAGTATTGTAAAGTCTGAATTGTTTTTTTGATTGGTCTGCTCCCCCCCCCCCCCCTTGAGATTTTAAAAGAAAACTAAGGATACTTCCTTCAAAAGCAAACCAAGTGGTTTAAAAGATACCCATGCCTGATTTTGGGAAAGAAAAAGGGAACCATTAACCAACTTTGCAATTCTGTGCCCAATGAAACCAAAGTGAAGCCTCCCTACATTTGCAAGGTCAAATTTCTAAGTAACCTACCAATCAATAAAGGGATTCTAAAAGATAATAATAAATGCAATTGTCACAAGATGCTTTCCCTCATAGTATACGAATGTTGAATCAGTTTGGTCTTCTTTCCTTGTTTAAAATGGAATGGGTCTGTTCCCTAGCTAATGCCGCCATGAGTCAAAATCTCCCATTAAGTAACATAAGGGACATCTTCAATAGCGGGTGTTAGGAGCTGTGCTCTTTTATCTCAGACAGCAAAATACGGTCTTAACAGTATAATAGGTACAAGGAAGTGCTGGAAATACATTGCAGCTGCAGCTCTCTTCTATTTATGAAACTCCCTCCCGAACATACAGGCTTCAGGCATCCATCTTTCCCCTCGTGTAGCAAATCATTGTGGTCTGGAATGTTGCAGCTAAAAGCTGAATTCTTTATTGACACAGGAAGATAAACAGAACACAGCAGCCCGTCCCAAGAGGAGATGGTACCCTGCTTCAGAGAAGAATTCCTTTCCCCTCCTTCTCCTCCTCCCCCCACCATCAGCAAACACCAAGGGTCCTTCTCGCCCTCAAGACTTATATATGAGGTGAAATCTGGAGTCGGAGAAGCATTCCCAGCAAGTCCAAGGGATTAGTGAAGTTTCAAATAGCTGAACAACCAATTGTGAAATTTCAAATAGCTGAAAACATCCATTTAAAAAATAAAAAAATCTAAGTTAACATTTCACATAGGCAAAGGATCCGAATATTCCATGGGATGTTTTGAAACCCTTTTTAACCAGGCTTGAAATGAAAGGAATATCTAACATGTAAAATATCTCAGAATTCAGCTTCAGAAAAAGAGACAATTCCACCCCACCCCACCCAGGTATTCTTATACATCAGGACCACAGTTTCATGGCGTCCTACTTTTCCCTCCTGTTCTCTTATGGCTTTTCTTTCTTCTTCTTCCTATCTGTTTAGTTCAGGGGCAGGAGATTTGTTTCAGTTGGAATAGAAGGCACAAATGGAGAACTGTTTAAAATGAACAGAAGCATATGTGGGATCCCCCATTTATTTAGTAAATTTATACACTATCTTCAGTTGTATTCTAGGCAGCCTACCATGTACAGACAATAATGCATTCTAATACATATTATATATTATATGTAGAAAATAATATATATTAATAATAATAGCACAATACTATAAATATTGACAAAATATAATTGTGAAAAAGCACTTCAAGCCTAAATATGATTCCAGATGGAAAAGTCTCCATAATCTGTATTTTATCTAGAATTATTATTATATTTTTTATCCTGCCTCTAATATATGGAATGGAAGCTTGGTGATAATGGGTCTAAATGAAGAAACCAAGATAATAAAAAAAAGATGCTATTAAGAAAGATCCAAGTTGATACACTTCTGTGTGATTTCTGGTTTGTTGAGGCATTCCTAGTTTTGTTCGAATAAATTCAGACTGTGTAACTTCTGTGACAATTTCATTTGTTTTGTGGGAATGTAGCAGTATACAAAGTACCTCTTTGGATTTCAATTATCTTATTATCCCAAATAACTCCCAAAGGACAAAACTATATGCTTACTAAGTGAAATCCTGAAGGCCAAAAAAAATAAATGCTGGGAATATTAATAGAAGTGGAAAAGATTCCAAATCATGTTTATTATAGCAAGTTACCTTATAAATCCTCAGTATCAAATCCCATCCCTCAGTTTACAGTTTTATCAACTTTATCACTAGTAATTGAAATAAAATGCCCAAACTATTGAAACAGTTTTAAAACATTTTAGAATTTATTTTAAACCAGTGTAACGAAAACATTGCAAAACCTTAATTGAGCTAATTTTAATCATTATTCTACAAAACCTGCAAAATTCAGAAACTGCTATAGCATTCGATAGTAAAAAAAAAGTGATAATAAAAAAGGACAAAATATGATATACAATACAAAACAAAACAAAAAACCTTTTGATTAAAATGAACTGGATTCTGTAACTCTTTGGAGCAGATCATACATTTAGAATTTTGAAAAAGGCTCCCTCCAAAATATCTACAAAATGGCTGCTATAGTGTGCAAAGTCAGTCACAAGAAACCCAATTTACAGTAAGGCAAACTTATGAACTACTGGGAGTTGAAGTCCACAAGTCTTAAACTTGCCAAGTTTGAAGTCGCTTGGTCTAAGACAATCTATTAACCAGTGGTGGGATTCTATCAGTTAGGACCAGTTCAGGAGAACCAGTAGTTCTGGTGAGCATTTGGCCCCGCGCACCTGCCCCTGTTCTTTCCTGTGCTTTATTTCCTGTTTTTTTTTTAGCACAGCTGATTCACTCACCGAACTGGTTGTTATACAAGTTGAATCGCACCACTGCTATTCACACCAAAGAAAGTCTACAACATACTGGGAAACAAGTTGGCTCAAGAATTCATATATCTCCAAGAATGTACTTCCAGCGGCATTCTATTTCCACAAGCTCTTTTGAAAGCAAGATATGCTTTGAGTTTGGGTTAGTTTTTCATCTCCGTTTGTCCAGACTACTGCAACATTATTTCCAAAAGAATATACTTCCCATAAATAAATTATTTGCATGAAGACTGGTTAGGCAGCAGGCAGCTCTCTTTAGAACAATGAATTCCATTGACCGGAAAGGCTGTAGAGGACAGTGATTCAGAGTTGACAGGAGTTGGTGTGCCAAAGGGAGCAACTATGCTCCAGAGTTTGACAGATTGCATGCTAGAATGTTTTCATTTTTTAAAAAAATGAAATACCTTTTACTTTAATTTGGGAGATTCTTAAAATAAATAGAAAATTGAAACCAGAAGCTTTCCTTTAGGGTTTCATGGACAAAAAAAAAAATCTAGTATGTTTTCAGAAGAGACCTCTGTTATGCAATTAGTTGCCTTATTCATGGAATTTTGGGAAGGCTCCATCTGAATAATCTTCCATTTATAATTCTGTCTCTTTCCACCATCAAACTCCCCACCCCAATGGTCATGGAAGAGAAGACAATAGTCTTCTCTGAACACTGATTTTTGAGCAGAAGGTGAAAAACCCTCCATCTTGATGCCAAAGGATGGTGCTTTGCTTCGCAGTATGTCTGATTCCTCTTCATCAATTTTTGTTAATCCGGCAGGGGGGTACCAAGGAGCCATCTAAGCGAGCACCATCCCCTCTGACCCTTCTACTATGCAGTTCAGAAAAAGCTTCTGGTTCTCCTTTCATTCCCTTCCACCGGTTAATTTATGGAACAAGTCTTCATCCAACGTCTCGTTCTGGTCTTTGGAACGGGTTGACAGGAAAATATAGCCGCCGATGTATTCATGCACCACTTTGCAACTTGCACTCAGGCAAGCAAAGGCGATGGAGACATTCTGATCGAACTCAATGGCAACCTGAAGGGGAAAGACAATGGAAGTGCAAAGAATACGGATGCTGTGGTCGCAATTTTCTTTCTGCTTTCTGTTCCTGAGTGTAAAAAGAATCACCTGAAGCACAAACATCTCGAGGATAAGTTTGGTATATCCCAATTCAGCGTTTTTCAACCTCAGCAACTTTTAAGATGGGTGGACAATTCCCCTAACCAGCATTCCGGGAGTTGTTCTACCATGTCTTTAATGTTGCTGAGGTTGAGAAACAGTGACCTGCCCTAATGGCTCCCTTTTCTAAAATTTTGTTTCCCAGGGAAAACATTCCTTTTTTCATTTTAATTAGATTAATTAGAAGTCTTTATTGGCCAAGTGTGATTAGACATGCAAGGAATTCATTTCTGTGCGTAAGCTTTCCATGTCATCCTCCTCCTCTTTTAATGACCCCATAATTCCTTGCAAGGTGTTTACTAGCCGGATGCCCTTCCTGTTGCTGATGCAGGGTTTGATTCAGCAGATATATTCTCAGTGTGCCCAGAGAGAGAAAAATATCTGTCTCTACCTAGGATTGAACTAAGCTCTCAGTGTGCATACAACAATAGTGATAGGTAGCAATTTTCCACCAAGCATCAGAAGTAACAGAAAGGAGAAACTGTTTAATCCTATTCCCTGTTGGGCCTGCTGACTTAAAACCTCCCTCCTTCAACCTTTCTACACTTTGTGGGAAAGACTTTTCTTTTCTTTTTTTGCTCCTGCAGGGAGAAAAAAACCAGCTTTGAAAGGATCATTTTGGGTGGACTCATGACAGTTTCCTTCATCTACCTGCTGTAACCAGAATCATCGTAGGCCTTTTAAAATGTATGTTTCTGTGGTGTTTTCCTGTTTTTCGATATTGGCAACTTTTCCTGCAGTACTGCAACTCAATAGTTAAAAAAAAACCAAAGCTTGGGAGTCATCTATATGCCTTGTGTCTCTAATGCTTGGTTCCATCCTAATTCGAAGCATAAACTTTATTCTGAAACTTTCTCCTAAATGCAGAAATACATTTAGGTTGATAACGATGAGAAAGCATTTAGGCCATGCAAGGAACCACAGAGGCCTAGTCCACGTATTAACGGAGATGCTAATTCATGGCATATTACTATTCATAAGCAGTCACACATATGGGGCTGGGTGATGGCATTTGATTTAGCTTGCTGACTAGAATTTGCCCCTCTAGAAGGCAGGCATAGGAAAAGATACCTCAAAAGGGACTTTCATTATACAGTTGCTGTGTCTTAACCAGTGGTGGTATTCAAATGTTTTTACTACCAGTTCTGTGGGCATGGCTTGGTGGACGTGACTTGGTGGGCATATCAGGGGAAGGTTGCTGTAAAATCCCCATTCCCTCTTCAGCCCGCTAACCTGCTTTCCAGCTCCGTTCTTCTGTGCAGGCCAACAAAAGAAGACCCAGCCAATCAGCTGGGACTCGGGAGGCAGCGAATAGATGGGGGCAGGACCAGTCAGAGGTAGTATTTGCTGGTTCTCCGAACTACTCAAAATTTCCACTACTGGTTCTCCAGAACTGGTCAGAACCTGTTGAATACCACCTCTGGTCTTAACACAAAACTCTTCAGAGGGTCCAAAGGACATGCTTGTCCATTTGGATAGTCCTTGGTTTATACCCACAACTGGACCAGAATTTCCACTGCTAAGCAACGCAGGGAGTTGAGAGTTTGTGATTTTATGACCTTTTTTTGCCACAGTTTGCTTGTTGGATGGAAAGGTGGCAAATAGCAATAGAGTAGAGTAGAGTAGAGTAGAATAGAGTGGAGTGGAGTAGAGTAGAATAGAATTCTTTATTGGCCAAGTGTGGCTGGACGCAGAAGGCATTTGTCTTGATGCATTCACATGAACCCACAACATGTCCCAGGTGCCAAGCACTGGGGGCAGGTGTGACTTGAGGGCAGCAACAAATGCTAAAGTAAGATTGTCTTTAGAGAAGAGGCCTGCGGGAAAATTCTTCTTGCAAATCAGATAAGAAGCATTCTCTGTCAGCAGAGCCCCTTCTCAAACAATAAAACAGTTGGAAAAGCTTGTGATCAGGGAAGGAGAATATATGTTTCCACCCATCCCATTTTCTAGATCCAACTTGTTCTCTTCTCTGCTCCAGAGAACTTTTCTTCCACTAGCATTAAACAAGATCTTTTGCAATTCTTCAGTCAACTATTTCTCAGGGGAAGAAATTTTAGTCAAGGAGCAACAGAGCGGAATGGTTGCCCTCCGGGAAACAATGTCATTTTTACCTGCCGTATCTCCCAGTTCACGTTCCATTGTTTCATGTTTGAATACCTCCAGGTTGTAATTGGGTCCCCAGTAGCTGTGTCTATCCTAATTAGCCTGTTGTAAGAAATCCCCAAGAGATCATCCTTCTTGCTTCCTTTAAATCTAAGGGAAAGAAGAGAAAGAGAAAAGTCCAACCAATTGCTTCTGTTTCTCCAAGCAATTATTCCCATGTGCATTAGACTAGACTAGACTAGACTAGGAGCTGGAAGAGACCTTCGAGATCTTCTAGTCCAGCCCCCTGCTCAGGTAGGAGAACCTTTACCATTTCAGATAAATGACTTCTTAAAAACCTCCAGTGATGGAGCCCCCACAATTTCTGAAGGCAAAGCTGTTCCACTGGTTAATTGTCCTCACTGTTAGGAAGTTTCTCCTTAATTCCATATTGCTTCTCTTATTAGTTTCCAACCGTTTGTTTCTTACCCTGCCTTCTGGTGCTTTGGAGAATAATTTGACCCGCTCTTCTTTGTGGCAGCCCCTCAAATACTGGAATACTGCTATCATGTCACCCCTAATTCTTCTGTTCTTCAGACTAGCCAGACCCAAATCCTGTAGCCGTTCTTCATATGTTTTAGTCTCCAGGCCTTTGATCATTTTGGTTGCTCTCAGACTGAGCAGCAAGAGAAAAGAATCACAGGTAGTCCTTGACTTACAACCCTTCATCTAGCAATTGTTTGAAATTACAAGGGCACTGAAAAAAACGACTTACAAAAAAGTCCTCCTTGCAGCATCCCCACTGTCAGGGATCAAAATTCAGACGTTTGGCAGCTGGCATTTATTTTCTATGTTTACAGCATCCCAGGTGTTGCGACGGCTATTTGAGACTCTCCCAGCTGGCTTCTGACTAGCAAAGCCAATGGGGGAAGCTGGGTTTGCTTAATAACTCCACAATTCACTTAACAACGGCAGTGATTAAATTAACATCTGATGCAAAAAAGTTCATAAAATCAGGCGTGATTCACTTAACAGCTGCCTTGTTCGGGGACAGGGATTTAGGTGCCAACTGTGGATTGTAAGTCAAGGACTATCTATATATGATCTTCTTCATAAAGCCAGTGAATTAAAAGAGCAGGAAGTGATTAGATTTTGGGGCATACGCCATTCACACTTGATTCTCCTTCTCACTCCCAAATCAGTATATGTGAGTCAGGCTATTACATGCATTTTCTTATACCCCTTTTGCTAAGGGGTACATCTATGTGTGTTTGTGTATCTCCAGGCATTTTCTTTTAAATAGTAATTGCATTTTGGTTTGCGTATCAGTTCAGGAAACACAAATATTGCTAAGTTAGTATCTAAATGCAAATTGGAAAAACTTCCCCATGCGCACTAGTGGAAAGGACTGACAATAGCGCCATCCCAGTGGAAGCTACTGATGAGATGGAAAAAGGGTTGAGGAAGCAGGGAAGGGTGCTGTCCTGTCAATCATCAGTTGCTCCCGAGCAAGATGGTGAATGGCAAGTTATAGGTTGCAGCGGAGGGAACTTAGCAATAGCGCTAGCACTTAAGACTTATATGCGGCTTCACAGTGCTTTACAGCCCTCTCTAAGCGATTTACAGAGTCAGCCTATTGCCCCCAACGATCTGGGTCTTCAATTTGCCCACCTCGGAAGGATGGAAGGCTGAGTCAACCTTGAGCCTGATGAAATTTGAACTGCCAAATTGCAGTCAGCCAGCAGTCAGCAGAAGTAGCCTGCAGTACTGCACTCTAACCACTGCGCCACCGTGGCTCAACTTCCTTCCTATCCTTCTCTTCCTTCACCAGGGATACCGTAGAAGGTTATATTTCCTTTCATTACAAACCAACCGTCAACAAAAAGGAATGGCTTCAAGCAAATGGGATTTTAAAAAGAGAATCCAAGCATTGATTGCTGACTTCCCATCGTAGACTGTGCTTCCCTCTACTGGCCAAATATAGAACTACTAAACATACTTGGGGAAAATAACTATCTGCAGATAACTTCTTTTTTTTTTTTTTTGATAACTTTCAGAAGACGCTTTTTGACTTCTGCATTGTCTAAAAAAAGTTGATCCTGATGATATTACGTTATGCTTGTTAACCCTGAAGGGCCAGGTTGAGGCAGACCATCCTGAAGAAAATCTATTTATGTAGTTATTAAGAGCTGTCACTGCTTTGATGACACATGATCAATCACTGTCAATAAGTCTGGGTTAGGTGCTTGGCAGAACAACCTGAAAATGATGGGGGAGCTGTCAATAAATAATTCCACAATAGGTGTGTATGTAACTATGTTTTATAAATATGTAGCACCAAGTGCTAGGAATAGGAGGAATTCCGAAGATCCCAGCAGTCCTGTTTATGCAATCAGACTTATTAATCATCTTTTCATGTTCTAAAATAATCTCAAGTGAAATGAAGGACCACTGCTGGATATTAAAAGACAGAATATATATTTTAAAAGAAGCCACAAAGCCAGATGTTGCAGCCCTGATTATTCCCTTCAAGATACCGAGAGCAATGTGTGGGAAGAGACTATATCATAGATAAGCCAGAAACAAGGGTTACAGGTAGTCTTTGGTTTGGGACCATTGATTTAGCAACCATTCTTGGTAATGAAGGTACTGAAAAAGTGGGACTTGTAACTGGTCCTTGGAGTGCCAGCTGTTGCAGTATCCCCATGGTCATGTGATCATGGCTGACATGATGATGCCACTATATTCTGCCACCACCAAGACCAACCCCAGCGGATCTTCCTCCTCGTTTTATTACTTATTGGCATATCCACCTTCTTCCTCCTCCCAGCATTGGCTCCCCTCACCTCCCCTGGGCTTTCTAACGTTAGCTGGCCTTAAGGCCCACAGAGAGGACTTTGGTCTGTGTTGGGTATAGAGGTAGCAGTGAGGGATGGGCTGATGGTGAGGATAAGCTCAGTTCCCCCTACGGAGCTTGAGGATGGCCAGTGTTGGTGAGCCCCATGGAAGAAAGGCGAGGCAAAAGTGAGGAGAAGGAAGAAGACAGCAATGGTGCTGAGGAGGACAGGGAGGAATGTCCGGTGGGAGTGATGGCAGCTGGTGGATAGTGGCAGTGGAATACAGAGGGGTCTTCATCAGTGGTGGGATTCAAATTTTACTACCAGTTCTGTGGGCGTGGCTTGGTAGGTGTGGCTTGGTGGTTGTGGCTTGGTAGGTGTGGCTTGGTAGGTTTGGCTTGGTAGGTGTGGCTTGGTAAGTTTGGCTTGGTGGGTGTGGCTTGGTAGGTGTGGCTTGATAGGTGTGGCTTGGTGGGTGTGGCTTGTAGGACGTGGCAAGGGAAGGATACTTTAAAATCTTCATTCCCTCCCCACCCCACTAACCTGCTTTCCAGCTCTGTTCTTTTGTGCTGAGCAACAAAAGAAGACCCAGCCAATCAGCTGGGACTCAGAAGGCAGAGAATAGATGGGGGCAGGGCCAGTCAGAGGTGGTATTTGCCAGTCCTCTGAACTACTCAAATTTTCCACTATTGGTTCTCCAGAACTGGTCAGAACCTACTGAATACCACCTCTGGTCTTCATCTCAACCATGCTGTGCAGGGTGGCCAAACAGATAGGGGGAGATAAATGTGGGAGGGGCTAGTTGAAATGGAGATAGTTCACGCAGGGCAGGGGAAACGAAACAACCTCTTTTCTGGCTCAGTGATCCCCTGAAAATGTCTTTCGCTTTGGAAGAATCGAGGCTCATGCCTGGGAGGGACCAAGCCAGGCATGGCTTGAATCTTTTTCCAAGAAAAAAAAAGGGAATTCATCCAAAGGTCACAAGTTGTGGTCATGTAAGATCCTGGTTTAACGACTGCCTGCTCCTCACTAACAGCTGCATTGCTGGAATGGCCATTGCTAAGCAGCGCAGTCACAGGATGTTTGATTTAAGGACGGTTTTGCTGACTTAGAAATCCCGGCCTCAATTAAAGTCATAACCTGAGGACTATGTACCTGTAGAATAGCGATTTTAAGAAGACTTCTAAACCAGAGCGCTAAAATGTTTTTCACCCCAAAAGAAGGCCATTTCTGATATAATTTCTGGGCACACTTTTTTTTTGAACTATTACCACCTGGCAGACGGTACAGGATAATAAAAACAAGGAAAAATGGCTGAAAAACAGCTGCTATCCCAGGGCAGTAACTCTACTGAATTCTACCGTATAGTGCAATATTAATGCAATATCGGGTTTTCAATTCAATTGTATAGAATGTGAAGGATGTGTGTTTGTGTTTTATTTTTATAGTTATGGTGTACACTGAAGATGGCATTTAATTTCGTTGCACGAGGTGCAATGACAATAAAGTAAACTAAACCAAAACAAAAGTTGTTAAAACGGTTCTAAGCAGTACCCTTCTTTAAAAATTTAGGGGCAGAGGAACACTTGAATTACCTCACAATGTAATAGGATATGCCGAATTCCGGAAGTGACTGCCATGCCTGGATAAACCTGAGTTTGGCTTCCATAAGAGGCAGGTGAATGATGTTGTGGTGTGCTTCTAGAATGCGAGCAGCTAGCTAGGAAAATGTGGAAAGGAAAGCACAGGTTTAGCTGAAGTAGAAATGAACAAGCAGCATTCAAATAGTCAAAAAGCATCACATAACTTTTACTACTTTACTAATCTGCTGTATTAAGGAAGCAAACCAAATACTGAGTACTGAGATCACAACGGGGGAACCTTGAGGATGTCAATTACAGGATGTGAAAATGCTGGCAACTCCATCAGCATGGACACCCTTTTATCTCAGCTCTTCCTCTCCTCCTTTCTTTGCACAGGTGAGTGGAAATGGTATTCTAGCTACAACAGCACCTTTGTCGCTTGGCTGACAAGCAGCTGCACCAATTTCCCCATCACTTTCTTCTCTTCCTAGCAGGAATTCAATAATGGCATCCAGTATTTAAGAGCGGAGGTCCCCAAACCCTGGTTCGTGGACTGGCATCACTCTGCAGCATGCCAGAAACTGGGTCGGGCAGACAAGCAAAGCCCCATTTGCGAGATGAAGCCACACCCCCTCCAGTCCGCGGAAAAACGTCTCTCCATGGAACTGGTTCCTCGTGCCCCAAAGGTTGGGGATCGCTGTTTAAGAGGGCTTTATTTAAGGGCTGCATTGTAATATGTGTGGTTGACCGTAAAACTAGTTTGTAATAAGAGGTTTTATACACACACACACACACACACACACACACACACACACACTGGTATTTTTTTGTATAAAATGGTAATTTGACATTCATTCATTCATTCATTCATTCATCATATCCCACCTTTATTTTCACAAATAACTCAAGACAGAGAACATATCCAACAGATCTTTGTCCCCCTATTTTCCTCACAATAACAATCCTATTAGATAAGGTGGGAGAATGACAGGCCCAAGGTCACCCATCTGGCTTTTACGGCTAAGGCGGGACTTAAACTAAATGCCTTAACCACTAGACCAAGCTAGCTATAGATTAATTAATGACAGAGTTTAATTACAATTGTGGTTATCACGTTCATCAAATAGTTTGAACAATTTGTTTTCTCTTGGTTTCTTGGATTGCTTTGTGCGCTTCTGCTCAGTAAACTTTTTTGCTCCAGTCAAGTCTGCGGGATTTGCAACTGCAAACATTGCAAGGATATGACTATTGATCGATTCTATAAAATGCTGCTCTGCTGACATTTTTTTGGGTTAGATTCTGAATTGGGAGTTTATGGGGTAAATTCCAGGATTATTTTTTTCTTCAGCTCTTGCTAGCCAGGATCTTTTTGGTTGAAGAGGCAGAAGATGAGAACTTCTGATTATGGAAGAGTTTAATGTACCCCCTCCTTCTTCCTTTAATATCCTACTGCAGATGCAAAAACACAGAATGACACAGAATCGATACATTAAGATCAGGGAAAAGCAATTTGGGGCAGAATTTCTATCTCGCAAATTCAGGTCCAATATTCTATTTATAGGTTTATGCTGTCTCTTCAGATTTTATTTGTAGATTTTGCTGTAAGAAAGATACTCCTTGAAATTCTCTTTTGATCTACTAAACAAGAATCCTCTACCAATTAGACCTGAATCAGTTTGAGTACGTCCCCTGCAATTGGCCCAACATTCAGCAGTTCCTGTATTTGTTTTTGGCTCCCCATTTACCTGTTTAGATTTATATTTCTTAGCATATCGTGGTGAGAGGAAGCATTCCGGTTTCACGTCCATGCTTTCTACATCTCTAACTTCTTGGGGTGCAGCTGTTCTGCTTTTCATTTTCAGGAGCGAGAGGATGTTATTCACCTCGGACTGGTAAGAACTGTCTGCCATTGTTTTCCCTTTGGAAGCCAATGCACAAGCGGCCATCCATCTGGCATACTGCTCTTCCTAGAACAAACAGTCCATTGAGAGATATTAAGGAAAATAATAATAATCTGGCACCCATTTTTATTCGCATTGTTTAGCTGCAATCATTGGAAATGCTTTGGTTAACTTCAACACAGGCTTCTGTTAAGAAAGCAGTGTTCCAGGACCAACTCTCTTCATAGTCTACATAAATGACCTCTGTGATCACATAAAGAGCAACTGCGTTCTTTTCGCTGATGATGTAAAGCTGTTCAACACCACAGACAATACTGCTACCCTTCAAAAAGATCTTGACTATGTATTTAGAAAGGTCAAACAAATGGCAACTTCAAATCTCAACAAATAAATGCTCTGTCTTACATATTGGCAAAAAAAAATCAGAAAATAAAATACAAGCTCAATAGTCAAGACCTTGTTGATGATCCAAGCTCTGTAAAGGACCTTGGAATACTCATCTCTAATGACCTAAGAGCTAGAGCCCACTGTAACTACATAGCTAAAAAGGCATTAAGAGTTGTTAACTTAATCTTACGCAGCTTTTTCTCTGGTAACATTACATTACTAACTAGAGCATACAAAGCATTTGCTAGATCAATACTCGAATACAGCTCATCAGTCTGGAACCCACATTACGTATCTGATATTAACACAGTTGAGAAAGTCCAGAAATATTTCACAAGAAGAGTTCTCCACTCCTCTACTCGTTGCAGAATACCTTATGCCACCAGACTTGAAATTCTAGACCTAGAAAACCTATAACTACACCGCCTTCAGTCCGATCTAAGTATAGTATATAAAACCATACATTGCAATGACTTACCAGTCAATGAATACTTCAGCTTCGAGCATAACAACACAAGAGCACACAGTAGATACAAACTCAAGATTAACTGCACCAAATTTGATTGCAGGAAATACAACTTCAGCAACAGAGTGGTCAATGTCTGGAATACTCTACCTGACTCTGTGGTTTTTTCCCCAAACTCCAAAAACTTTAACCTTAGACTGTCTACTATTGACCTCACCCCTTTCCTAAGAGGTCTATGGGGGCATGCATAAGTGCACCAATCGTGCCTACCGACCCTGTCCTATTGTTTGTTTTTATTTTTCTTATATGTACCCATTTCATATATTCATAACTATGTATATACTTATATGTTGTGGCTCCGGGCTTGGATTCAGCTCCTGTGACTGATATGAGTTCAAGTGAGGAGGTCATGGCAGAAAAATATGAGCCGGCCTGGCTTAGTGATTGGACTGATAACCAGGATGAGGAGATGGACGTGACAAAGGACGACAGACCTGATGTATTAGAATTGTCAGGACCTTTGACCTCCTCTGGTTCCTTATCTGATCAACAGCCGGGAATGGCTGACAGGGAAGTTTTGAGAGAGTCTTCTAGTGGAGATGAGAACTTGGAAAATTTGTGGTTAAATGTAAAAAATAGAAGACAGTTGAGAAGGCAAAATCAGCTGGAGCGAATGAGGAGAGCGAGTCAGTAAATTAGCACGTTGCCTCAATGAGTATAAAAGGACACAGCTGGGCTGGTACATTTTGCTAGGAACAAAATGACTATTTGAGTGAGGACGTTACAGCAAGAAGCTCTGAGACTGGAGATTTATTGCCAGGACTGGTTTGCCGGACAGAGTAAAGATTTATGCTGTGGTTTCTGCCAGCCGTTATCTTGTAAGACTTCTTTCCGTTTGATTTAATTGTGAAACGGCTGCTTTCTGTTTTGTTCGTTTGAATTTTGAAGGGGAGTCATAACACTTATACCTATTATCTTGTAAGTCATTGACAAATCAAAATAAATAAAAAAATAAAATAAAAAAAGCATTTCATAGACCAGGCGTTCCAACTTTGGCAACTTTAAGACTTGTGGACTTCAACTCCCAGAATTCCTCAGCCGAGGAACTCTGGGAGTTGAAGTCCACAAGTCTTAAAGTTGCCAAGGTTAGAAACCTTGCCACAGACAATACTTCATCAGACTAATTTGTTTATTAAACTTCTATCCCATCTCTTCTTCAGAAGTTCCAGGGGGAAGTTTCCAAGGACCACATATGAAGGAGATGAACTGGTTTCTTTCTTCTTCCTTCATGTTTAACTCTGAGAACAAAACTGACCAGAATGTTTTTCATCTGTTAGCAAACAGGCAAGACCGAAGCTAGAAATGAAATGTTTGCAGCATTAAGAGGAAGGTGGAAAGTTAAGGATGTTACAGATTCTTCCGGTTTGTTGGCTTTGGTGACAGCAGGGATTCGCTTTTCTCCGCGATCTCTGCTGTGCTAGCCGCCTTGGTGCCTCTGATCCTGATGGCTTTGGAGGCTAAGGCTGCCCTGTTGGGGCAGCTGAAGAAAGGGGGGGTCCGGACAGGGGTTGAGGAGTATCGCAAACCCCTTCCCCAGCCAGCAATAACCCCCTTCTCTCAAGACGGTGGAGCGGCGGTCTTTATGGCTGCCATAAAGAAGCCGGCAACTGGATAAAGAATGTGCAGGAGGAAGGAGTTTTAAAACGAAAGTTTTTTCTTGGTCGAACTGGGACCTTAAGGAAGTATTTAACACCTGGGAAAGTATTGGCTTTTTTCTGGACGCTACAATGTTCCCGATTGATGTTTTCAGCGGCGAAGAAAAGTGATGAAAAGGGGAAGTTACTCTCCCTCTCTTATGGAATTAACAAATGGACAAGGGAAACCAGCCTTTTAATAGAAGGTAAAACCTAAACTCCTTTGTTATAAGTGGGAAGGGAGAGGCTTGGAAAAAAATTTTTTTTACTCTAAGACTTTGCTGGAGGAGATGCCTTGAAGATAAAGAGAATAGAAATTAATTCTAAAAAAGATTTAAAGCACAGACTGGACGTTTTTTCGTTCCCTAATTTGACTTCACCCCTAGAAGAGAAATTGTAAAAAGAAGAAGTTTGTACTCTGCCTGGACTGTTTGATGATTGCGGGATTTTGGGACTTTTGGGAACTGTTTTAAGTTTGGAAATAACTGATTGGCTTAATAATAAGAAGAGGATACAGAAAAAGAAGAAGAAACAGTTCAAAATGGCTCTATCTCTTGATGAACTAAAAAAACAGTATTTAAAAATAAGGAAAGAAGGTAAAGATGTTATGGGAGAAGCCCTTTGTTTCCTAGATATGGCACTTGTCATGTGTCAGCAAATTAAACAACAGCTGGAAGAAGCCGAGGAAGAAGAAGCCATTTTTAATGAACTAAATGGTGTGACTAAGAAAGAAAGGAGAAAGAGAGGAGCGAAAAGGAAGGACTTAAGAAATAAAAAAATATTTATGAAAGAGAAAAAGAAGATGCAAAAACAACAGAATGCTAGAAAGCAAAAGGAAAGAGGAATGCAACAGAAAGGGGAAACCAAGAAGGCAGAGGTTTGGAGAGGAGGGGTTAAAAAGTTTAGGTGGGCTAAGAAGGAAAGGGAAAAGGGGGGAAAAAGTTACAAAGGTATAAAACAAGATGGAGAAAAGAAATTTTTTTTTAGGGATAATGGGTAATGTATGGGTTTTTTTAAAAAAAAAAAGGGGATTCTGCAAAGTACACATTAGTATTGTAATAGTGGTATTTGTATTATAAGTAGATAATCAGAACTTTTTAAGATCTAATAAAAGACTAAAATATTAAGGTATAACTTTAAAATGTTTAATAATGAATGATATTAAGTTTTAATAAAATACTAAAGGGAATGTTTAAAATATTAGTTTAAATATAGAGTTTAATGGATTAATGTGTTGACTGTTATGGATTTATTATTGTAGTATTGGTTTCTGAAATAGTAGAATGTACTAAGCAGAATCTGATTGGGATTTAGGTGTTATTTTAAATTTTAATTTAGGGGAATGATAGAAAGGCATCATACTCTGATTAGTGATTCCAGGGGAAACTATTCTTTTTTATATTGGAAATGAGACAGATGTAAATGGAGAAATGGACAAAAGATATAAAAATATTTTTCTTCAAAGCAAGATTAAATATATAAAACAGAATTAAGATGAGGCAAAAGTGGAGAGGAGTTATATAATAGATATAGAATGGTAAACAAGATAGGTAATGGTATATAAGAAGAGCATGAATTCAATTGAAGTCCATACAAAAAGAGGTAATCTGGGGCCAAGTTACTTTCTAAAAGAAAGTTTTATGTTTTTATGTTTATGTCTTATGTGTGTGTGTTCAATTAAGAATTAAATAATAAAATCTCGGAGGAAGACTAGATGAGAATAATTATAAACAAGCCAGAGGAAAATATAAATGTGATGATTGAATAGCAGATAAATTAGAAAGGAAATATGATTGAATAATGATTAAAGAGAAACAATGTGGAATTTGGTAAAGGGAATTTACGTGTTTATATGGAAATGGGATAAATTATAAGTATGTGATATAAAGCAATATGTTACCTGCCTTGTAAAGATTTACAATGGAAAGAGGTTTTATGTTTTTAATGTTTAATGATGTTTTGTTTTGTTTGTTTGTTTGTAAAATCAATAAAACTTGTTTAAAAAAAAAAAGAAAGTTAAGGATGTTACAGAGAACAAAAGGGAGCTGTGAAAGCTCATCCAAGTTTGATTTTCATGTTCCTTTGTTTGATGTGAATGCATTTTCAATTTCCTTCAGAGGGTATGTCATACTGTACTACAGGACTGAACCGAAGTGACACTAAATGCATCTTTTATGATCCTTGATATACTGATAAACGTACAAGCAGGCAGCAGTAAGAAGGCAAGATTTTACTTGCCCTCTTACTGTGTTCCAGAAGTAAAATCTCCTTGCGCAAAAGGAAACTTCCTTTCTAGAATTGAGGCCTGGTACAGCGGTAGGAATGTTCTTCCTACCACTGAACCAAGTTTGTGGGAAAAAAGTATCAAATCTCTTATGGACTGCTTGCTGAAAAAAGAGAAAAATGAACTGGTGACTTATGGGTTTGAACATCAGAAAGAGTAGCTTATGGAAGAAAGGAAATTATGTTGTAGAAAGAGGGGGGCAAATAAAAATGTATTATAACATTAAAAGCTGTTCTTTATCAACTTTTTCTTTTCTTTATATATTAAACTTATACGCCACCCATCTCACCTAGAGGCGACGCTAGGCAGCTTACAGCCAATAGAAAACAACAAGATGACACATTAAAACAATAAATATTGTTAAATTAAAATTGACTAAAAATTAACAAAGATGGCAAGGAAGTCACACCTCCAATGTGACATGCCACCATCAGGGCCCCAGGTCAATTGGCACAGCCAGGTCTTCAGGGCCCTTGAGAAGGCCGAAAGAGTAGGTATGGATCTCACCTCACCTTTTCTCAGCAAAAGAGTAGATTCAGATCTCACCTCATCTTTTCTATGTATTTTTCTGCTATTTACCATTTTTCTTTACAATCTTTATATTATTTATATAAAATATGTGTATAGCTAATATTGAATCCTTTTTTTTTCTCCTCCTCACGGACATATCAGAACTCTTAGATCTCCTTTGTCCTTTAATTTCCCTCCACCCCACCAGTCCACCTTGGGAGAGCCTGAGGAAATCCCAGGACTATAGTCCACACAAAATATAGCCCAAATAAGGCAATGGTAAACCTACACTGTTGGCTGAGAAAGCCTTATTGTCCTGTTCATGGAAGTGTCAGACATTAATGACTTTAGGGAGGTAAACTGAGTTTCACAAGGGTTCTTCAGACAGGAAGGTCATATGAGGCAAAGGACAAATACTGACAAATTTACAGAATCATTTGGCAAAGTGGCTCTTGGCACAGACTTTTAGACAAAAATCCCCTCTCATGAATGGAGGTGAGTAGGCAACCTGGAGTTTGGTTAATTGTGGTTTTTTCCCCTATACAAGCCTTGTTTTATCTCCGTGCACAAATAGCTGGGAATATTTATGCACTGTGTGGGTTTGCAATGCATTGAAATGCCAGCCAAGCACCTGGACCTCAATGAGATTTCCCAAGGGGCAATGCAATGCACAAAAAGCACATTAATACCCCTCCTCTGTGCACACAATAGGTTCATTCAGCTGTTTTGTTACTCACATCATTACACCTCAAATGTGTTTCATTCATTCCATCAGCAACTGGGATGAGTAATTTAATCCCATATTTTTTCGCTGACACACTTACATCTGGGACAATTTCACATCCTGAACAACAAAACAGAAGAGAATTTATATGTAAACTTACATTTCATCTTCATTTAAGAACAATACATGAGAAAGACCGGAAGAAGAAACCGCATATTAAAAAAAGGAATAAGGACAATTTAAAAAAGGTAAATGATTAATTATTACTTATCACTAAGACAGAGGTCCTCAACCCCCAGTCTGGTAGCAATCTGCACCCTACTGGGAACCGGGCCACGCAAGGAGGTGAACACATGAAGCTCCATTTGCACATGTGAAAACTATCCCCTCCCTGCCACACCCTGCCACCACTGTTGCTCCGTGACGTGGCAAGATTGGGGACCTCTGCAGTTAAGAGGATAGATGTAAACTTGCAGACCAAAATAATTTTATTCTGGGGTGCACTCAGCCTTAGCTTAGTTTAGTTTCAAGGGAGACCGTGATGTTATGGATCATCATCTGATCAGTAATATATCTTCATGTGATGGGTTTAAAATGATAAGAGCTCTGGTGTGGTGAGGACCTTTTTCCAGACAAACATAAGTGCCATTGAAGCGTGTCATAAGCAGATGATCAATATGGAATTTGCAATACACACAGAGCATTTGCACCAGTGGGATTTCATCGCTTCCCACTGGTCACATAATTTGGGAACTCAAGGCATTGAAAGCCTGGCACCATTTCTATGAAGCTATATAATACAGTTTCTGTATTACAGAAATGTAATCACAGAGGTATGTGGATTTCATGTGTTCCTCATCTTCACTCATGGCTGTGGTATCCACACTTTGGCACATATTATGTGGGCAACAATGTCATAATGATTAGTATCCTTTGGACATCTGTCAGTAAATGAGACCAAAACACTCCCAACTATACAAAAATAGGTTTTGGTAAATACTACATAAAGACAGATTAAACTGTGTCTATGCATGTGCACAGACATGCATGTCCGTGTGCACTCAGACATATAAACAAAGAACAAATACGCTTATTGTGCTAGGAGATCTCTGTAGATGCAACTGCACTTCATAAGATGCTGTATGAAAATATCAGCTTCTACCTCTTAGGTTAAGCTTCTCGATAGGTTCTCCGTGTTCAGCTTCTTTGTTTTTAAAGTAACTTATGGATGTGTCTTTGAAGACGAACCAATATTGCTTGAAGGCCTTCAGCACCAGCTTTTTGGATCTGCAAATGAAGAATTGCTTCGTCAAGCCTCTGTTCTAATGAGAAGATTGGTCAACCTTTTAGGCCAAGTTTTATTTTCCATACATTATGAAAGTACATCTGCCTGCCTCATTCAGAAGTATCTGTTTTCTCTATTTTAGCTGCTTTATCAGAGAGGGGCAAGTCACAGTAGAAACTACAGTGACACCCCCTCCAACCCCAAAAGACAAAACATGCAAACTCTGGCCTCGGAGTTTACTTCTCAGTGCAGGTAAAAGTATAGAAATAGTGAGATTTGTACAGGTAGTCCTCAACCACAATTGAGCCCAAAATTGTTGTTGCTAAGTGAAACATTTAAGTGAATTTTGCCCCATTTTACGACCTTTCTTGCCATAGTTGAACATGGTTGTTAAGTGAATCTGGCTTCCCCATTGACTTTGTTTGTCAGAAGGTCACAAAAGCAGATCATAGGATCCCAGCACACACTGCAACGGTCATAAATGTGAGTCAGTTCCCAAGCGTCTGGATTTTGATCACATGACCGTGGAGATACTACCACTGTCGTAAGTGGGAAAAGCGGTTGTAAGTCACTTTTTTTCAGTGCCGTTGTAACTTCAAACGATTACTAAGAGATCTGTTGTAAGTTGAGGACTACCTATATTGTAATATCGTAATGCACGTTTTATCAACTGCCCCCTCTTCTATTTCCACAAAACACTGAACTGCAAAACATCTTGATTATTCATTTTACGTCTTCACGTACAAACTCTGCTTTCCTGAAAGATTTCAAGTAAGTCATTCATTTCTTTATGAAAACACAAATTCGATCGTTTTTCATGCAGTAGTATTTAAATGGATTTAATCATTGAGTTTTATTGTGAAGATATTATTTTAATTTTGTGAACCACCCTGGGAGTGGTTCTTATATGAAAGATGGCTTATAGACATATTAAGTCAATTTCCAATTTAACTGAAGTGATCTTGATACAATCATATTGACTTTTGAGATTTGGGACATTGATTGTTTTCAAAATTCAATGTAATGAAACACAAGGAAATATGCTAAAGTAAACCCCATTGTTCAATATATGGGTTTGCTCCTTTTCCTTACCTAAATAGTTTGAGGTTATCAGCAAGCTTTGGAATGTCTGTGATATCCTCCTATGGAGAACCAAGAATTATGCTAGTAACAAGGCACAGCTAGATACTTTCAATTGCATGTCAATGATTGGCCCGTATTATGGTTGCATATTTGGCGCATTTTACGGTTGCTGACTTGCTATTTGTTTTTCCCACACTTTAAACCCAATTCAGCGAATACGTTGCAGATAAATTTAAAAATTTATCTCCGAAACAAACCCACAAATCTAAATTTGGGAGATAAGAAATAGCCATCTTCCCCTGAAATGATATAATATTGAAATTTTTTTTTGTATCTCTTAAAATCTCAGGTGAAACCAGAAATTAGGCACAAACTACCCTGTACTAAAAATACCTGAAAAGCAGACCCATCTTATCCTGGGCACCCTATTTTTGAATTATTACCACCTAGCAATTGGTACAGGATAATAAAAATAAGGACAAATGGGCTAAAAAAAAGCTTCTATCCCAGGGCAGTAACTATATTGAATTCTACTGTATAGTGCAATATTAATACAATATCGGGTTTTCAATTCAATTGTATAGAATGTGAAGGATGTGTGTTTGTGTTTTATTTTTATAGTTATAATGTACACTGAAGATGGCATTTAATTTTGTTGTATGAGGTGTAATGACAGTAAAGTAAATTAACTAACTAATTAGAGAGGAGTGATAATGCCATGATAAAGTTCCTTCTCCTCTTGGGTTAAAGAGGTATTGTACAGGTACTCCTTGACTTATCACAACTGAGCTCAAAAATTTCTCTTGTTAAGTGAGACCTTTGTTAAGTGAGTTTTGCCCCATTCTTCCTTGCCACAGTTGTTAAGTGAATCACCGCAGTTGATAAGTTAGTAACCTGGTTGTTAAGTGAATCTGGCTTCCTCATTGACTTTGCTTGTGAGAATGTCGCAAAAGGAGATCACATGACCTTGGGACACAGCAACGGTCATAAGTATGAACCAGTTGCTAAGCAGCTGTGTAACTGACAGACTGGATTTTATCATAAATTCTATCTGTTATTGATTATTTTATTCTAGAATTTTTAATTGTATACTTGCTGAGTGTTTTATCCATTCTGGACTCTGGTCTATAGACTGTAATAAATTGAATACAGTTGTCAAGCATCTGAATTGTGATCACAGGACCATGGAGATGCTGCAATGGTCATAACTGTGAAAAACGGTCATAAGTCACATTTTTCAGTGTCGTAGTAACTTTGAACGGTCACTGAACGAACTGTTATAAGTTGAGGACCACCTGTACAGATATTCAGATATTGTTGAACTCTAATTCTCTTTAGCTCAAGCAGGCATTGATAGTGAATGTTGCAATTCATCAACTGTGCATCCTGGCCTACAGTCATTGGATTCAATTTTTTTTATTACTGGTTCTGTGGATATGGCTTGTTGGGCATGGCTTGTTGGGTGTGGCAGGGGAAGGATACTGTAAAATCCCCATTCCCTCCCCATTCCTGGGGGAAGGTTACTGTAAAATCTCCATTCCCTCCCCACCCCACTAACCTGCTTTCCAGCTCCGTTCTCCTGTGCAGGGCAACCAAAGAAGACCCAGCTGATCAGCTGGACTCGGGAGGCAGAAAATAGATGGGGACGGGGCCAGTCAGAGGTGGTATTTGCTGGTTCTCCAAACTACTCAAAATTCATGCTACTGGTTCTCCAGAACTGGTCAAAACTGGCTGAATACCACCTCTGCCTACCAGGTATGGTGGGAAATATGCTCATTGATAAAATCCCAACCTAATTTCCTACATCCAGAATATTACCTTGACTCCGTGCCCAAAGGAAGGGAATGACATACCAATAGGTTCTCTGATCTTCCTCCTTCTAGTGTTATTTCTAGATTGGAAAGTGCTGCTTCCACTTCGTCGGTTTCACTCTCAACTGGGAAGTCTTTGGATCCTGAGGATAAAGTCAGCTTGCTGATATGGTACTGCAGTCAAGGGAAAACATACCCGGATGGCATCTGGTAAGCTTGTTGATTTCATTTTAGCCTTTCCCTTTGATTAGTATATTCTGACTCATCACATGTATGAAAAGGCAATGGAAGCAATCGTGTTTTTATTAATTTGATCCTTTTTTAAAATATAGTATTATGTATTTACAGCAGTTCAGTAATAGACTGTCAATCCTAATTTTACTCCAGGCTGCTGAATGATGCATTTATCAAAATCAAATAATTCCTGGCTGATTATACTCTCGAAAAGGCTAAAAGTTATTCATACAAAAGGTTAAAACACACTAAATTAAGAAAGCAATAGCACTTAGACTTATATACCGCTTCATAGTGCTTTACAACCCTCTCTAAGTGGTTTACAGAGTCAGCGTATTGTCCCTAACAATCTGAGTCCTCATTTTGTGGACCTTGGAAGGATGGAAGGCTGAGTCAATCTTGAGCCAGTGAAAATCAAACTGTTGGCAGTCGGCACAATTAGCCTGCAGTGCTGCATTCTAACCACTGCACCACCACAGCTCTGATGTTTTAACCCAGGCTGCATATTCTATCCAGCAAAACATGTGGCAGCTGCTAAGAGAAGCAGAGAAAATCATCCTTATGTAAGCAGGTCTTTCAGCTTCCCCAGCCAGATATGTCAATTTCAGCTTCCCCAGCCAGATATGTTCAAAAATCAGATGAGGGACATATACCAGAAACCATTTTAATATACTGATGAAAAATGAACCATGTTGACATTTGTTGATGCAAGGGAAAGCAATTGATAATTTAAATTAGATTATTATGTTTAAAAATTTGGAAGAATGGATTTTGGAAATAACTTTATTAAATGGGTTATATACTATCAGAAGCAGCACAAATTATAGCCAATGGTGAATTGACTCAAACCTGTGAGATCCAAAATGAACAAGACATTGTTGTTCATTTTCACCACTTGTGTTAGTGATATAAGACAGAATGAGAGAATAATCGGGGTGAGGGTGGGAAAAAAAGGATATAAATTAAGGGTATTTGCAGACTATTTGGTTTAATCCCTTGGGAGGATTATTAATGGATTATTAATAGAGATATATTAATGGAAAAACTGAAGGAATTTTCTAGATGGAAAAATTGCAATTATTATTGATGGAATTTCGATGATAAAAGTGAATCTTCTCGAACGATGCAGTTATTTCATACTAGTTTTGAAAAATGATGCGCCTTTTACACAAGGATAAAAAGATTTATTTAGATTTGTATGGCAAGGCAAGAAAACAAATGTTAAATTCAATTTTTTTCAGGATGCAAAAGACAGAGAAGAGCTAGGAGTTTAAATTGTATTTTGCAGTTTGTTGTTTGGTTTGGATGAAAGAATGGGTTCTTCTAAGAAATAAAAGAATGTTAGAATTGGAACAGTATAGCCAGTGGTTTAGTTGGCAAGGGTTTTTAAAGTTAACATATGGATGTTAACAATCATTATATGAGAAGTGCCAATTTGAGAGTATGAAATAAATAGAAGCCCAGGATATACTAAAAGATACCTTTTTTGTCCTCAGCACAGGAAGCATTTTATAGATGAGAAACAGCAGATAGAACAAAATGATTAATATATCAAGATTTATTAACATAAGAGGATGGAAAAATTAAGATGAAGTCAAGAGAACAATCATCCTTCAGTAGGTTTAAAAACCATAAAAACTATAATTTTAATGGTTTTTATATGCACAATTAAAAAACAGGTTTGATATGGATAAAAAGACAATAGAACTGAAAAATACAGAATAGGGACTTCAGATCCAGGGATTTTTTTTCTGAAAGAAGAAATGAAATAATATTCTATGGGTTTGAAAATTAAGAAAGACATGGATTAAGTTAAGGTCTGAAGGAACTTGTATGAAATCTAAGAGGAAGGAAGAGCAATACGTTTGTAATTATCTGTTGAAAATGTCAGAAGTCATATTTCTTAACTTTAGGTTTTTTTTCTCTTTTCATTTTTTTGTACTTTCTTATTTTCTTCTTTTGATTTGTATTTATGAAAAAAGACTTAATAAATATAAATTAAAAAAGGGTGAGTCAAAGGGAACAAAGGAGCAGGGAAGTAATATTTCAAATAGTAAACATCATTCTGCTCCATAAATACGTGAGTTACAGCAATTCATCCAAATACTGTAATTCCTTCCCTGTAGAAGTTTGCTTGCATACTCAATGAAAATGAAGTTTGTGCAGGTTCCCTAGAGGGAATAATCCCATAAACTCTTTCCGAGTATAAAATCCCACTCAATTACATGTGGCTGTTGTCCAATTAGACATGCAGAGAATTGCAGTCATTTAATTACTGTTTGGGCTTATATTTGAAGAACTAATTTCTGAACTGATCTGAAAACAACTAAACCTGGTTAAGAAATGTGCACAAGGGCCTCCTGTCCTTTTGTTTATCATCCAATCTGAGGAAGGACTCTTATCAAACTCAAAACTCAACATTTAACACTTTGGGGGATGAATGATATTTTCTCATTGTTTGGAAATGGGAGTGCATCATGATCAATCTATGTTTCGTATTTGGGAGGTAACACAATTCAATATTTGCTCTACAACATTTGAAGAATTAGCCGCCTCATAAAATATCCTCTGTTAATCATTGACATATGTGTAAACAGAATTTGAAATAGCAAACTAGTTTATCGCTTTTGAAGAAAGCAGGGGGAAAGATTTCACTTGGAACAATCAATCCAAGTCCTCCTCCTTGGGTGCTCATGTTCTGGCAGGTGACTGCTGCAAACACAAAAAACTGGTTTTGTAACAAGATCAAGTACATGCCTGCAATGCAGCAAAAATGAAGGTTTCTTCTTCTGTGCAGTCTATTTCTTCTAGCAGAATAGCCCAGCGGGCTTGCTCATATAGCTGATGGATCCGTACTGCATCATACTGCCAAGAGAAGCAATAGCAGGTTGTATTAGAAATAAGCAGACTTTGCCGTAAGTCCAACAGTTGAACAGCCTAACTACCTCCAGATATACTGTCCTTTGAAACATTTTGTCCTCCGTTTCAGCAAAGAAGGACAACATTGGAAGACCTGAAGGATGAGGTTGGGAACAGATTATCCTGGAGAAAATTTGGATGGTTGCCAACTTGATGATGATCATCACTCATGATGATCAAGAGGGGAGAGCTTTTGTTAGCCAGAGAGCTAGGCCACGTTTTGCACTGTGTGTCAACAGCTGCACTATAAAAATGAGTGGCGCTAGAATCAGATTTTGGGGGAAGGTTTAATGGCTTTATAAGAGAAATAGATATGTAGTATTTTAGATAGCTGTATGAGGAATGATACTGATATGTTCAAGGGTGGAACTGGAACAATGCTACCCATATTAATGCCAAGAAAAATTAATAAAGAAGTGGTAATATTGAAAAATAAGAAAGCTACCGGTATAGATTGAGTATTGAAGAAGTGTTAAAATCTACATATAGTTTCCTCAGGGAGCAGCTATGTAACTTGCTTAATGTCTGAAGAAAGTACCAATGACAGATGATTAGAAGAATGCCATTATTATATAAATAAAAAAGGAACAAAAATTAAGATAAAAACTAAAAGGGGATTCGCTGTAATTTTATGCTAGCAAAGTATTTTGACCAGAGTTTTTGCTGCTCAGCAGGTCATTTAAGCAAAACACATGCTAAGATATAGGCATAAATTTGGGAATGTTTTGCATAGATGTGGAATTGAAGGTTGGCCGTTAAATTTGATAAGAGTGTGATGGAAGTAAAATACATATAATAGTAAATGCTCTCAAGAAGATTGTCTAATATTGAGCAAGGAATTAAACAAAGATATATGATGACCTCTGTTTTGTGTAATGTATTTTTATGGCTAATATATAAAAGGAATATTTGTAGTGATGTTAGAGACATTTTGCTTGGGACATGAATACAGTGAGCTGTTGGGAGAAATGAATCCTTATATAAAAAAGTGAAAATGGCTGTAAGAATGTGCTTCTGCCCACTTAAATGGAATATGGAATTGAGTGATGGGTCTGTCCAGAGAAATACATAAGTTGAATACAGTAGAAATGGAGTATTTATCTAATAATACAAGAAGTGATAGAATGAGGACTGAATGGGGGATGAGCAAATGTAGACTGAAAACAACACTGAATAGCCAGTACAGTATGAAAATAATAAGTTCAGGTGGTTTAGTTAAATAGAGACAATGAATAAGCTCAAAGGAAGTATATAGAAGAAGAATGAGCTGGCTGAGAGGAAGAGAAAGACAACGTTGTTTGATAAGATTACATAACAAAAGGCAATTTTTGAAGCGATAAGTGCACAAGGATAAAAGAAGGATAATTTGCAAGACAGGAAGATATGGAGAAGCCTAGTGAAATGTGATGGTGCACAACTAGAGTACTACTATTTCTTACTATTTATCTGCACTCTGCATAATATTGCTTACTCTAAAAGGGAATAGAGAGATGCATGTACAGAGTGTTTCAAAAGCAATATGTTTTATTAATTTTCTTTTTCAGAGAAAATGTCATTGCGCTCAGCAATGTTTTTAAAAGTCATGGCTAAAATGAGTAAGAAGGTATTGAAAAAAATGTCAACCAATTCAAACATTTAATGTTTATAGAGTAAATAGTCCATGGGGCCTGATTTTTGGTATGCCCTGTGCATGCATCTGCATAACTCTACTACTGTTGAAATATTGTTGTTTAGTAGCCTAGTAGTAAAATTGGATCTCACTGTACAAGATTAATCAACCTACTGAAATAGAACTGTAGACTTTGCATTGGATTATTAGAGGAGACGAAAATCATTTTAATGTTAAATGTTAATGTTTAATGTTAAGTCTATTACAGATAAGAAGATTGAATTAAGGAATATTAAGGAAAATAGAAATATTAAGAAATAGTAGAAATATTAAGGAAAATTCTGGACCAGTTCTACCATAATGTTACAAAATAAAATTTTAATAGAGGATAATATATCAGTTGCTCCCCTTCCTGGATTGGAAGGTCCTGCAGACAGTCATTCATGCTCTTTGCACCTCATGGCTTGACTGCTGCAATGTACCCTATTGAAGACTGCCGTTGAAGACACTCAGAAGCTTTGACTTGGTATGCCCACGTGACACCCTGATTTGCAATTAGCACTGATTTCCAGTATGCTTCAGGGTGTTGATTATGATTTATATAGTCCCATATGGCACAGGGTCCAAATATTTGAGGACTGCCTATCACCCATGTTATCTACCTAGGCAGTCAGGGTTGACAGAATAGGTATGCTCTGGGTACCTTTGATTACACAGTGGCATTTTTCGTGACCCAACAAGGGTATCTTCTGTATCAGGGCACCTGCCCTTTTAAACACTCCTACTTTGATAATGTCCTGGAAGGCTTTAAAAACTTGCTATTCTCCTAGGTCTTAGGGTAGGGTTGAGATTGTTGTATGTATTGGGCATATGTTTTGTGACTAGATATTTTATCTGTTCATTGGTTTCTACTCTATTTCTATTTCTTTTAATATTGTGAGCCACCTCAACTCAGCTTGGAGTTGCTCAATCCCGAAATCAAATGGATAAGTCAAATGAAAGAGAATATTCCACAAAAACTATCATGTTATTTTACTTACGTTAAAAGAAAACTGATATAGTATTACTGTACTCTGATCTATAAGCTGTGGTTTAACAACATTCAGTTGTGAATACAAAATGAAATCCTTAAATTTGTTTTTTAATTGTCATGTCAGGAATCTTAAAGAGCTTCTTACTTTTGCGTTCAGATCAAAGAAATCATAGTATTTAAAACGGAGTAGAAGTTCATCGTCCTCCTGGATATCTTGTTCCATGAGTGATCGAGATGAATCTAACCATCTGAAAGGAAAAGAACACCAAGCACTGACAATAAGTTCCACAGAAAGAAAAATGCCAAGTTGTAAAAAAGCACAAGATATCGGAAATATATGGGCGGAGGTGGGGGAGTGAGAGATATAGAGTTTAGTAAGTACAGTCATAGTAAGAAAACTTGAAATATATTTCTACACACTGTAATGCCTATTAGTATTATTGCATATTACTAGATGTTGCCTCTGACAGTGTTAGCCTCAATAAACTCCCTTTTTATGACCCTTTAATCCCTTAAATGTCAGCCTCAATGATTTAGCAAAAGTAGAGGTAGCTGCATAGTTTTTCAATTTTAGCAAATGAACATATTTAGAAATTATGAATTCTATGTATATAAGAGGAAAATATGTGTGCTTTGGAAAAAAGGTGTTTGGGAAGAGAGAAATACAGTTATGAACAATCAAAAGTGTGAAGAGGAATTTGAGCCTTCCTTTAATTCCTAACAGAATATGTCAAGGTGTCACTTTTCGTTCGTCCCAAATCTTATCCTAATATCCTAATTAATCCTTTGTGTATGGATACACAGCACACACACACACACACACAGAGCCAGCCCTGCCCTTGGCTTGTCAAAATGATCCAATGCTAATATTCAAAGAGAAAGGTTCCTCACCCGGCGTTCAGTTTGGCTTTGTCGACCAACGTTCGAGGCTGATACATTTTGGCAAGTGTCTCTGGTGCACAGTTAGGATGGCTAAAAGCGAGGGTGCTCCAGCTCTGTTGTGCCAATGGGCTGTCACTGAACCACGCAACGGTGGAAGGGACGGGTGAACCAGTAATGGGATCGTAAGTCGGGGTCATGGTCTTGCTATATAAGCCAGGACTGGCTGGAATATTGAGAACAGAAAATAAAACTATCAGTTTCTAACATTGCTGAATGTGAAAGGAGATGATTTTCTAATATAAGCAACCTGTCAACTCGTAAAATATTTCTCTGGTCTTTTTAGAGTTGCCAACAGAAAGGGAGGGGGGAGCAGTGCAGCAGCTTGCAAAACCGAAACTGCATTCCATAAATGTTTTCATAGATAATTTCTAGGCGACTAAAGTTTTTGCTGTGCAAAATTCTAAACTGGAGAGCATGATTGATGACTCTTGGCTAGGGATGTGTCCCACTGGAGAATATGAATTATGATACACCCAGGGGGTGGGGGGAAAACCAGGGTCAAGGGTGACAATGAATTATGTGTCTTAGAGTTGGCTACACCCAGGTAGTGCCGGCATGCTAACTCTTAATAAATCCTTTTAAAGTTTTGGAAGTTTGGCTTGAGACTCATGATTTAAAGTGGGATAACTGCTGGAATCCTGACACTACCTATATTTCTCTGGAAAAAAAAAACTCTTCAGGACGCTATTTAATAGTTTTCCAGGCAGCTTTCAATAAATAGCTAAATCCCAGCAATCTTACATCTGCAAGGATAATTGTGCTTGTTCAAAAAAAAATAGTTAAATGTACTTTTAGTTTTCTAACTTCAGATGCACTTAGATTTGGAATACTATGCCATTGTTATAATCAAAAGTATCTCTTTCTTTAATATCCTGGTTCCTGGCATAACTGGGTTTTTTCCTTATATGTAAGTATCACTAACCATAATTGTTCTATAGATGGTACTGTGCCAGACCTGAATTGCATGGCGCTCAGGTTCTTTCAAGTCTTTCTCTAGAAAAAAGGAAGAATGCTTCCAAGTGGGCGCAGAAAGAGAGAATAATGATTAAATCTTTCACAATGCAGAGCCGGGGTATCCAACCTCGTCAACTTTAAGACTTCTGGATTTCAACTCCCAGAATTCCCCAGCCAGTCATGTCAGCCAGTTGAAGTCCACAAGTCTTAAAGTTGTCATGGTTGGACACTCCTAATGCAGAATAATTCATGGAGCATTTAAGTATACATACCAACGAGCTCCGTCCAAATACTAGATTGCCATTAAATGGAAGCAAAGACTTCCTGCCAGCTAGTGACCCTCTGGATTTTTGCAGGTCACATGAGGGGTGCCTGCTGGCAATGTAGAAAGAAAATTAACATTTGCAGCAGGAGTTGGTGTGGTTTTAACTGGTATTTCCCTTGAACACCAAGTCTTTTTCAAAAGCTGTAACCGATGAAAAATTGTTTCACTTTCCTAAGGTACACAAGGCATTCTTGCATGCCACTGTCAGAACTTAATTCTTATTCCTAAAAATGTGTAATTGAACTGAATACTTCTTCTTCTTCTTTCCTGATGGCAGCATTTTCAGTTCAGAGTTCCCCAATAATCCCTGTCATTCTGAGTCCTCATAGCCAATGTTAAAAAACAGCTTATATAGAGTAACAAGCTCAAAGGTTTCTCTAACTGATTAATTACATGGCCTTTTGTTCTTACTTTTTGAAGTTCAACGTATAAAGAAGGCAGCCAATAAATAAGTAGAGCTGATAAAATCAGTATTGCCTATTGCACTGTTACCTGGCAATCCCAAACTCACTGGAGAATTGTGCAGGTTTAAAATATCTTCTACGACTGGTTCTTTGTCTTTGTCCTTCTCTTTGTCTTTTCTCTTTTTCTTTTTTATCTCACTGGTTGGCTTCAGCAGAGACAGTTCTTCTGACCGTCTAATACCTGCAAACACAGTTGAAAATATCAATGGGCTGGAAAGACCAGTGGGTTCTATCATCCAAGAGAGTCCATTGATTTGACACATCATTTTCTTTTGCCCTCCAGAATAGGTTAAAGGGGCCAAAAAGATGACCCGTACCAGGGTTATTGGTCTCTCTGAGAAAAGGAGTTTCTCCTGCTTTGAAAGAGGTGATGATTCTAATTCTATCCTGTAGGATTAGCTCATGCTGGGTTCCTTTGATTAAACAATGTCATCTCTTAGGAACCCAGAAGGGTGCCTTCTCTATAACAGGGCCTGCCCTCTGAGCAAGATTCTCCCTGAGATCTGGTTGCTCCCCTCTCTGCTGTTGTTTTAAATTAAAAATGAATATTTTAAATGTTTCGTTGACTGAGTTTCATGTTTAATGAAAAAAATAACAAAAACAACAATAAATTCCCATATCAACTATCAGTGCCAGTCAATGATATTTGTGATACATTTTTAAATGTTCAGTTGACTGAGTTTCATGTTTAATGAATAAAAGAGATAAATTCCAAATCATCATTTGGAACACAACATGCCATATATCACGGTGGCCGAAAATCGAAGCATACAATTTATTGATATCGCTATACCAGGAGACCTCAGAGTCGAAGAAAAAGAACTGGGAAAAAATCATGAAATATTGCGACCTGGCCATCAAAACGACGTAGTTATGGATGAAACATGTAATAGTGATACCCATTGTTATTGGGGCACTTGGTACCATGTCCAAGAATTTTACAAAATACATCAAGAAATTGCAGCTTCCTGCAATAACACTTTTGTGGAACTGCAAAAGTCTGCACTACTTGGAACAGCATACATTTAAGAAGATACTTGGTTGATACCTAGGATGCTGTCAGCAACCCGTATCAACCATCAGCACCAGTCAATGGTATTTGTGATACATTTTTAAATGTTCAGTTGACTTTCATGTTTAATGAATAAAAGATAATAATAATAACAATAACAACAACATTGGCATTGACAAAATCACCACCCATCAATTGCAAAAGTTACGATTTACTTGGAAACATTTACATCCTGCAGTAATATTTTTAATATTATTAAATAACAATATCTGCCTCTCCCAGGTCTTTGAGGAGGACTTGCTAGATGAGCAAAAATTGCCAAATCAGTCTAAACATGTGGCTGGTTGACCAACCATAATAATAATTTTGCAACTAACTAAGCAAACATCCTTTGCCACCATAAGAATTTCGGTACTTTTGAAATCAGCAAGAGGGTTAATTTTTAATAAATGGAACAGAGAAGAATATTGCCGTCCCATTAAAATATTTTCTTTCAAAACAATTGGCTAGGACAAGAAGCAGAGAAACAGGATTATGGAGTAGGCAAATAAAACATAAGTGGTGACTGGAAGTGCATCTGCTTTCGCTTTAACTTTATTCTGTGAAAACATTTAAACACCACTTTTCACCCAGAAAGGAGACAATGTATAAAAGAAGACAGCTTCTTTCCTATGCTCTATCAATGTAAGAAGACTTTAGAGCAAGAGGGGGAAGAAAGAGTAGGGAGGATAAATCAAGACAACCAGGAACCAATTATTAATATTAAACCACTTATATAATGATACATTACAATGGAAGCAGGCTGCTTTAATTCAAATACCAGGTTTGACAAGAATCAAACAAATAGTCAAACAAAGAGGTGCCCTTCCTTGAAGGAGTTCTAATGAAGTTAGAAATTGGTAGTCTTAGACTCCCAGAAACCTGTCCTTCTTTCACTCTTTAACTGAGGAAAAGCATATTCTATGCCCATCAAACAGAGTTGTTCTCAGCTGCTTCTACTTTCAAGGCATTTGCTTCCAAGAGCTTCCAAGAGGAAAATGGTTCCACCTAGTCTAGCCTAACTGATAAAAGCAGCAGAAGGGACATATGAGATGATCTAGTCTTAATCTCCACCACGCGTACTCTCTTACGTTAGTGACATAAAACTGACATGAAATTCTTATTTAGATAAGATAGATCAAGGGTCTTGGCAAGTTTAAGACTGGTGGACTTCAGCTTCCAGAATTCCTGAGCTAACATGGCTGGAGGAAGAATTCTGGGAGTTGAAGTCCACCAGTCTTAAAGCTGTCAAGTTTGAAGACTCCTGAGATAGATAGAAGCACTAGCTGACCTTGGATGATTTCAATAAACTAAGAGGAATTGGGCACACTTGGATGGAAAACTGGAGAAACAGCAGGCTGTTTTACAAAGAATATCATAAAAAAGGCAGGGATCAATCACTTAAGCACGATTATATATAAAAAAAGTCCCCATAAAGGTCAAATTTGCACTCAACTCAAAAGGTATTTTACTTTTACAATACTTCAGTAAATAGCCACTAATTAAACATACTTTGCTAACAGTTACAGGGTAATCTACATGTAAATAGTAGATAAAACAGACGCTTGCTTCTACAACCTTCACTTAAACCCTCTTGCATGCTAAGATTGACAGAAGTAGTATTATATAGTTCAGAGATTGACTTTCTCAAGATCCAAGGACTTGAAGGCCAATATATCTGGAATGTGTACCGAGTTGGTGAGAGCTACTTTAGGGTAAAAATGGCCATGATATGAAGTTCTAGTTCATCATATTTTTTTTCCACTGTAATATGAGCTCAGATGCCTCCAGACTTTAAATAGGGAAGCAGACTTTCCTGGAGTTTAGAGAGGTTTTAAATGGGAAGGCGGTTACAGCTGCTTTTTTTCATGTTAACTGTGCCATTTATGCTATAAGAAAGAGTTTAATAGTTATCATCTGACTTTATAGGTAGTAAGCGACTAAGAGATCTCTTGAGAGCAATGCTGGCAAGGTAAATTTCATTGTAAAAACCCATTACACAGATCCCTTTTGCTGTATCTTCTCACTCCAGCCAGTCAGACATCTACTCAGTTATCCATTTGTCTCTATGGTGTGGTCTTCTCTAGGCTGGGAACTTCCAGATCTGTTGCCCCATAATTCCTATTCTTTCTGTCTAGAAAAAAAAAAGGCAATTCTATTCTGCTAAATCTCCAGCAAACAATGTCCTCAGGTTATGAACAAGCCAGAAGTATTCATTCAATCATGTCACCTACGGTATACTTGTGAAAACTCAGCAATATGTCATACTTCTAGCTAACTCCCAAAGAAGCATTATCAAAATCATTTCTCCCTTTCTATACAGATTGCAAACTTTATCTACCTCTCCCACGTTTTCCTCTAAAATAGTGATAGCTGAATGACTCTTAGCAGGCCATTTCCTGTTATTTATAATGTTATTTATAATGTCATTCCCTGCAGTGTTATCTGCAATTATAGTTTCATGTGTAAAGAAAAAACATGAGAGAGAATGCTTGATTTTCTCAGACTTAGCAAATGAATCTGTGGCTACTACGTGTACTATGGGAGACTTCTAGTGCATTTATTTTCTATAATATTTTATTCTGTCACTACACTCATACGCCCTCATGTACTCATCTACAAACACCTACAACGCTTTCCTTGCAGGCTGGTACAAGTCTTATTTGTGGTGAGGAATTTTTTAGAGATAAATTCCTGGTTGAGCAATACCTGAGGCTTTAATCATTGTAATTGTGGTGTGTTTATAGACATGTGCTAGGAATTCATATTGCGAATTGCACAGCTGTTAACATGGCTTGAGGTGATACATTCCATCTACAGAAAATGTAGCATACATCATTGGAGAGGTGAACAATAACAAACGGAAGTTATGCTTGTGTACAACTTCGTAGCTTTAAAACAGCGATACTCAACAAACTATTGAGTTCAAGGACCTCTGAACCTGGAAATCAGTATGAAAGAAGTGCGATAAGTCCACTGCAGTTATTTTAAAACTTTCCCGCTCTTTATCATAGAGCTGTAAATAAGATACTGTAACTACATAGCTTAAAAGGCATTAAGAGTTGTTAACCTAATCCTGCATAGCTTTTTCTCCAGTAATATCACACTACTAACTTGACATACAAAACATTTGCTAGACCAATACTTGAATACAGCTCATCAGTCTGGAACCTGCATTACGTATCTGATATTAATGCAATTGAGAAAGTCCAGAAATATTTCACAAGAAGAGTTCTCCACTCCTCTACTCGTTGTAGAATACCTTATGCCACCAGACTTGAAATTCTAGACCTTCAGTCCGATCTAAGTATAATACATAAAATTATATATTGCAATGTCGTACCTGTCAATGAATACTTCAGCTTCAACCATAACAATACAAGAGCACACAACAGATACAAACTCAAGGTAAACAGCATCAAACTTGATTGCAGGAAATACGACTTCAGCAACAGAGTGGTCAATGTCTGGAATACTCTATCTGACTCTGTTTTTTTCCCCAAATCCCAAAAACTTTAACCTTAGACTATCTACTATTGACCTCACCCCTTTCCTAAGAGGTCTGTAGGGGGTGTGCATAAGCGTACCAATGTGCCTACCGTCCCTGTCCTATTGTTTCTTTTTATTTTTCTTCTACGTTTCCATTTCATGTGTTCATAACTATGTTTATACTCATACCTGTTAGCTTATAATCGCTTGACAAAATAAATAAAAAAACAGATCTATGCATAGAACTATAACTTATTTTTTATCTTACACATGGTTTATTTATCAAGATGAACCAACAGAATTCATGACTTTAAAAAAATTCATCTAATATCAAATACACAAGGAAGGTTGTAGAATCTCTTTTGCTGGAAATGTTTGATGCATGCTGCAATTGTAGATTTTATTTATTTATTACATTTGTATGCTGTCCTTCTCACCAAGGGGTGACCCTAGGCAGCTTACAACTGAGTAAAAACAAGATGAAATATTAAAATATCAAAACAATAAATTTGAGTACAAAAATTATTAAAGATGGGAAGGAAGAGAGCAAGATTACACAGTGTGGAAATGGAGCCTTATCAGTCCAGGATTCCTTGCTTGGCAAGGTTTAGACTAGATCAGAGTTCTCAAGGGTCAGTATTGGTCCTTAAAGGTCCATTGTTGTTGTTGCTGCTATTATTATTATGTAAAGAGTATTTATTATTATTTCTTAATATAGGTGAATAATCTGAAACTTCATATCCCTAACTAGATGATCTATAACAGGGATGTCAAACTCATGTCGTCACGGCGGCGTCATGTGACGTATCAAGACTTTTCCCCCCTTCACTAAACTGGGCATGGGCGTGGCCACCACATGACGCATCTGGCTCATGCGCCTTGGGTTTGATACCTTTGATCTATAAAGTACTTTCTGTCTCTTTCATTCTAAGTTTGGATGACAAATTGCACTTGAGAGCAGAAACACAACAAATGCTGTTGTTACATTACAGGAACCAAAGGCTACAGAGAGACTATCTGATGTCCCATTAGAAATCAGCAACCTTACCTTGCTCAATTATCCATCTTCAGGAGTTTTGAACACATTTTAAGGTTTCTACTGGACATGGTCAGGGAGTTGTGGCTGTTTTGGTGCTTTCCCATTGAACAGTACTATGTGATTTTAGGGACTCTGAAGCATGCAGAATAAGGCCTTGGGCAATCTAGATGTCTAGATGGATGTTTTCCTGATCAAAGGCCTTGTATTACTTCCCCTCCTGAATGATGATTCCTCTAAATGATAAGATTCTCATATATAGCAGGAATGTCTCTTTGTACTGCAAGTCCTATCCTGCCCTCCCCTTTATTCTGAGATATGTGTAGACACATCTTGTTCTGCTTTTTAAAAACATGTAATTGATGTTCTTCTTGAGTGAGTGAAAACAATAAGCAGTAATGGGCAGCTATGCAGAAATACCTCAGAATAAAGTGAGTAATTTGCTTTGGGTAAAATAAACTCCACGTACTTTTTTCACTGGTCATTACATTCATTGGTATGAACAAACTTTATTGGGCATTGGTCTTATTCAGCCAATATTCCATTTTTTATATATATTTGAGAGAATGCAGAATTCAATGGTATTTCTCTCAAATCTGCTGAACTGAAACCTTTAAAAAAACCATAATAAAACAATTACAATAAGTCCCCAAGCTGTCAATGGACCTGAAGGGCTGAACTAAAATTAAAAATCAAACTACTACCTTCCACAGCCTACATTGTGTTCTCATTTTCCCATTACTTTCAATGGATTTTAGAATTACAAATCAAAATATTTAAACTTTAGGATCTTGAACTGGTAATGCACAGCAATTCTGCTTTCCTCAACATGGTTAACTTTCAGCTGTGAAGATCTGGTTATGTTGTCTTAGAATTCCAGGAGAGAATTCCATGGATAAAAGGCTTAAAAGAAGCAGAGAGGATGTGTCCATAAGCTCATGGTGTGGAAATGCCCTAGCCACCAACTATAATTTGCATGGCAAGGTACTTGCAGTGAAATTCTAAAAATTAAAGAGCCCTCTTCTCTTCTGCATCTGGATGCTAATGTTGAAGCAAAATTCAGTCACAGCTTGTTTGGCTTCTACAGCTAGAAGCAGACGAGAACCTTGATTTTCACATCAGGCAGCAGTAACTTATATCTTGGACCTGCTATAAAACCATAGTAATGGAAAAAGAAATGCTCTGCTCCAAGTAAGTGACTTACTGTTATATGAAAAAGTGTTCAATAGATTACAATTATTGAACAAAATCTATTCTCTCATAAACTAGAAGGCAGATGTTCCAAAGAGAGAGAAGCGTTATGTCTCTACATCTCATCAGAGCCGCTGTTCTGTAGGCTGCATCTGATTGATAAGCTTGGAATGGATGAACGTGATGGATAGTGTTAGACATCACTCTGAATATGAAGAAATTAATTTTGGATTAACTTAAATAATTTTTTGGGGGGTGTCTTCAAGTCAGTGTTGACTCCCAGCAATCACCTGGACAAGTTTCTGCAGTTTTCTTGGCAAGGTTTTTTCAGAAATGGTTTGCCATTGCCTCCTTCCTAGAATTGAGAGAGAGGGACTGCCCAAGGTCATCCAGCTAGCTTGGTGTCCAAGGTGGGACTAGAATTTACAGTCTCCCAGTCTCTAGCCTAGTGCCTGAACCATTACAACAAACTGGCTCTCATACTTAGGGAAATATTAGGGAATATTTAGAAACTGACTATCCTTATTACTAATATCCTAATTAGTTCATTGAAAAATTAACTTGTATTAAATGGACAGCGTTCATAAAATCATCCTGTTATGCATGTTACTGTTGGAAACAGTGCTCCATGAGAGTTCAGACATAAAGTGGAAGATTCCCAAGACAGACATGTGGACATCACTTACAACATCTGCCGGAAGCACATCAGGGCAGAATAAGTGAATGCAACTTACCAAGGCTCTTGCAGATGTCCCCAACAACCCTGAATATCACAGAAGAGAAGCTAACATTCAGTCTCACAATCTTCATGCTTGGTAAACGAAGGCGCAGATTTTTGTGCTGAGGGGTAAACAGGAGAATGGCATCTGCTTGTACTCCATATTTGTCTAGTGTCCAATGAGTTTTTAGAAGCCAGTATTTCTTTTGCTCCCACCAAAGGGCATAGTCTGACCAATCTTGGGATATTCCTAAAAACAAAAAACAAAAGAAAGCAGGAATTTTGAAAATGTTACAACAAAGGTTACCACCAAGCTGAGGCCCTGGTTATACCTAAACATATCCCATTAGAACCATTTGTAAGCTATCTAGCCTTAAAAAAAGTCAGTGAAAGCAATAGGCTGATAGACAGAACTCGTTTTCTGTATTTAGTGTTTCCTGGGGGCCAGTCACTTTCTTTCAGCTCAACTTACCTCACAGGTGGTTATTGGGAAAAGTGGGTGAAGAACATACTTATACCTACCTTGAAGTTCTAAACCAAACGTAGTAAATACTAGAGCTATTTCTATAATTTACTGATTTCATCTGATGGATTAAGATGATTTCGAGGTACCTCTTGTGCTTAACTAGTACAATGATGATGGGTATAGCATTAGCACTTAAGACTTATATACCACTTTATGGTGCTTTTAACAGCCCTCCCTAAATGGTTTACAGAGTCAGTATATTGCCCCCAACTATCTGGGTTCTCATTTTACCCAACTCAGAAGGATGGAAGGCTGAGTCAACCTTGAGCCTGGTGGGATCTGAAATGCCAAATTGTAGGCAGCTGGCTGCAGAAGTAGCTTACACTACTGCACTCTAACTATTGTGCCACAGAGGCTCCTAATATAGTTCAAAGACTGGAAGATTGCGGATTGGGGACAGAGCATCCTTGAGAAAATATGGTTGTTAAGATTCAATACTGACTTGATGACACATAATCATCCTGGGCTTAACATTTGCCATTTCTTTCTTGTGTTTTACTATTTTAGAACATATTCCAAATAAATAGAAACAATATAAAATATGCAAACAATCATTTATAATTCCTGCTTTCATTCTACCTACTGGTGGGCATTAATTCAATGCCTGCTATATATAAATACTAAACTCTGACTTAATACGTGATACTGGTCTTCTAAATCAGTCCCTGCTCATTATGACCTCCCCAACACTCCAACATATGCTGCTTGGATTGTTGTTCCCACCAGATGTTTCTGGTATGGTGGCAGACATAACAGCATGAAACAAGGATGCAGCAAATGGGCAGCTGTGTAAGGGATGGGTCATGCAGAAACCTGCAGAGCTTTCAGTTTTTCTTAGAAGGCTTCCTCGCTAGAAGCTCAGTGTCAGCAGCTCATGCTTTTCCCTTCCCCTCTAAGGGAGGTGAGTGGTGCAAAAATGTAAAAAATAAATAAATAATGGATGGATGGAAAAGCAGAATTTTTGTTATCTGTTATCAGGGACATGAGTTCACACACCCAAAAATATCTATATTATTTGGGAGGCTCCAATTTCACTTGTACATACCCTGTTTCTCTAACAATACGGCCTCCCCCAATAGGAAGTCCCAGCATGTTTTATAGGCATGAAATGAAATTAAGCCCCTCCCCCCAATTAAGCCCTATATTAAAACATGCAAAATGGGGGGAATGGTGGGGGGGCTTGCTGTTAGGAAGTACTTTTGTTGCACACCCAGATATGGTGCTGCCTGAGTTGACCCCGATACGAAGTGCCCCACCAACGCCGAGGTCAACATCCAAGCTGTTGCCACCCGCCCGAAGATGGAAGGGGGGGAATTAAGTCAGCCCCGAAAAGACGGCCTAGCCATTTTTTCGGGGCTCAAAAAAAAAAAAGACCCAGCCTTATTATATGAGAAACACGGTATTATGTAGAATGAGCTGCTCATATACACACACAAAAAAAAGGCAGAAAAATTCCGGCAACCTGAAGCAACCTCAAAATGAATAAAGTGTATGAAACTTTATTCATTTTGGGGTTGCTTCAGGTTGCCGGAAGTCCTTTAAAAATGCCACACTCACCAATTTGTTCTACAAGTCTGAGCATCAACCCTCCGACATGAAGCTCCCCTGATACTTGAAGGGAAACCTCTTTTTGTTCTCCATTGTGGTGATCAACTGTGATTTTCAGCTCCCAGGAATTGGAACCATATTCATTTAAAGAAATCATAGCCCTGTTGAGAATTCCAACGTTAAAAATATTAAAAAGAAGGGAAATATGATATGTTTCTATATTCTATCATTGTTCTCTAAGAGCAGGATGAAAAATATTAAGGCGGCTTCATTGTTATTATTATCTGCTCCTCACCCATTATCTTTTTTTCTCTTTTAGCTTTGTGCTTTTTTATAGTTTTAACATTTAATAATAATAATAAAGTATCGGGACTTACAAATTGAAGTTGAGCGACTGTGGAAGAAGAAATTGTGTGTTATCCCAATTGTAATTGGAGCCTTTGGAGCAATACCTAAAGGGCTGCCTCACTATTTGGAAATTCTGAATTTATCAGACTTGAATACCCTGATTCTACAAAAAACCACCTGACTTGGAACAGCTTATATCCTCCGACACTACCTGAACAGTTCCTACGTCCTTGGTTAGGACTCGAGCTGTTGAGCTACCAACCAGCCCCAAAGGCTGTGAATCTCACTAAAGGTTAAATAATAATAATAATAACAACAACAACAAACAACAACAATAACAATAATAATTTGATTATGATGATGATGTTTTCTATATATTGTTTAGCTTTGTTGTACCTTCCCAGAGTCACTGTGTTATTAAGTGAGAGGCATTTATATAAATTTGATACATGAAAGAATAAAATTTGAGTCTAGCTAAAGACCCTATCTGGCAGGAAAAACAACAGACTCCTCTGATCACTTTTGATGTGATGAATCAGCTCCTGAAAATCTAATCTGATCTCCTAACAGGCCAGTTCTAGTATGTTTGCTCCCTGGGGTGGACATGACATGTGCACAAACATGTATAGGCACATTGTGGAGACACATCACCCAAGGTTGGTGATGTTATTTTGGCACTCGAGGCAGAAGATTCCTCAAGCATTCCTCCCACTGTCTGGCAGTAAAACATGCAACTGCCTATTAAGTAACTAACAATTTGCGGGCTGTTCAGACATCCCTTAACCACTCCTAAGAGTTGTTTTACTCTGCTTGACTGCAGGGGCTAAATTTCATAGGAGGATCATTGTTAAGGAATATTTTTTCAGCTTGATAATGGCTTCAGCTTACGCTTTTTTTTTTCTTGAATGGTGAACAGCAGCCTTTTCACCATGTTGGGATACAAAAGAAATGTGTTGTGTCTTTTAAGGACTGAGAATAATATCTTTGCACTTGTGGTATTGTACAAAGTTCCAAACCAGCTAGTTTGGAAACCACAAAAGCAATCGCTCATAAATTTGCTGTATTTCTTTTTAACATCTAAGTGATGTGTTGCATCCCCAATCAATCATTTAGAAGTACTTCTGTACATCATAGTCAATATACAGGTAATCCTCAATTTACAACCATTCATTTAGTGACTGTTTGAAATGACAAAGGCACTGAAAAATGACATGACTAGTTTTCACACTTATGACTGTTGCAGCATGTGATCAAAATTCAGGTACTTGGCAACTGGCATTTATTTATGACAGTGGCCCTGTCCTGGTCTCATGTGATCACTATTTGTAACCTTCCCAGCCAGTTTCCTTCAAGCAAAGACAATGGGAGAAGCCAGATTCGCTCAATGACTGAATGATTCATTTAATAACCGCAGTGACTGGCTTAACAACTGTGGCAAAAAAGGTCATAAAATGGGACAAAACTCATTTAACAAATGCCTTGCTTAGTAACAGCTAGTTTGGGATCAATTGTGGTTGTAAGTTGAGGACTAGCTATTTGTATTTTATTTTTCATTAGTTAAACTTCAGCTGACGCATTAGATCCCAACAGGATACCACCTTCTTCTTTGTTATATATAATTCTTCCAGCATCTTTTTCTAAAAATGCACATTCACAATCATGGCTTTTTTTTTTTGGATTTTATTATACCAACCTGATTAACAAAATTTAGATAGATTTAACAGAATTAATGGTATAGAATGTCAACCTTAATTATCATCATTTAAACAAAGAACTACCATGCCAGAAGCTGTAGTGTTTTTTTTTTATATCCTTGAAGAGCAACTTTACTTTAAGATTGTAGGGACCCAATTTTATATTATTGCAAGAGCTTTTCTATGGTTCTGTGAAGCCACGACATTCAAATATTTAAATTAGTAAAATCTTCCACAATGTCCTACTTAGGAAGATTCTAATAATTTCCTGTTTTATTTAGTTTGCCCCTCCCAGAATTATGAGGGAAAAACGCAAGCTGTGATCCTCATTATTCATTTTCGAAGTGAACCTCTATCAGTGTGTTTCTCAACTTTAGCAGCTGTGGTGTGTGTTCAAGTCCCAGAATTTCCCTGCTAGCAATGTGGGAGTTGAAGTCCACACATTTCAAGCTAGGAAGGTAGAAAACTCTGTTCTAGATACTGCTGGTCCATCACCCTTTCAAAACTACCAGCGACCAGAATAATGGCAATTAAGAGTTCAACACTCTGAGAAATGCCCTCGGTTATTTAGATCAGAATAGAGCTGGAAGGGACCTTGGAGGTCTTCTAGTCTAGCCCCTTCTCAAGCAGGAGATACTATATCATTTCAGACAAGCGACTGTCCAGTCTCTTCTTAACTGAACCTATGTCCAACACAACGGAAAAGGATGTGAAAAGGTTATTCTGAATTTCCTGCAGTGTGGTGAGGAAAAAAAAAGAGGAAGTAACTGGGCCCAATGTTCCCAGGACAGACCCTATTTCAAAGTGCTTTTGTATCTTTTCGTCTGAGCTTTTAAACATCCCTCCCGCTTCTTACTCCAAGGTTACTTTTTTTGGAGGGGGATTACAAATATATTTGCTGCATGGACACCAGAGCATTCTGGCTTTAAACACAGAAACCGAAGCCTTTCTATCGAGGTTCGAGAAAGGCAGATGAGCATTTTTAAGGACCCTAAAGAGTTGCGGCTCATTTCAACACATTCCAATATTTTCTTAATGATTTCCTCCTGCAATGGTATTTTCTCATTTGTCCAGTTTTTGGAAAGTACAATCCTAGCCGCTGTTAATACATTTACAACCAGATTGACTTTTGAAATCAGAGAACAAGATGATAAACAATTTTATAAAATTTTGGGATCTATTCTATCAATGGTTAGACAATAAAACATGGTAATGAGATATGTAGATTCTTAGAAAATAATAAATATATAAAGATGTATTTTTTTCTTATTATATCTACAAAATGATTGTAGGATAGATTTGAGATGATAATATGAACTGTCAAAAAACAAATTAAGTAAAATATGGATTATTTCATAAAACATGAATGAATAAAAGTATAGTCAAATGATTAATAATGATATTAATGTATTTGGTATTTGATTGACATTATGAGAATATATACACTGTAATTGTAATTGAAAACTACGAAGTGGAAGCACAAAACAATTTGTAAACCAACCGACACACTGTATGTATATATATGGAAGATGGCTTGATATTTTTATGTTTTGTCTATGTTTGTCTTAAAAACCAATAAAAAATTAAAAAAAAAGAGTTGCGGTTCCTGGCTGGCTCTGCTCTCATGATGTATCTCAATTCCCTTTTGCGGCCCAAGTTCGGACGCCACGATTTCTCCCGCTTCCTGCAAGTACAGTGACCCAAGGGGAGGCTGGCTAGCCGAGGGACCCGCCTTTGTCCCATTGCTACACTCCGCGCCTTGTCCGAGGGACGCCAGGTCCCGTTGCCACCTGATTCAGAAGGGACCGAGGCGGCTCGTCTTCTCGGTCCCGGTGCCTGCATTTGGGATTATATCCTCTCTGGACATTTTAATCGCCGCCGTCCTTTCGAACCAGGTTAGGTTAGGAAGGGTGTTACTAATGTGTCTTAATCATAATCTCCGGTTAAGCGATTTATTTTCTTTGCATTAGATCAGGGCTTTCCAACCTTGGCCACTTTTAAGCCTGACGGACTTCAACTCCCAGAATTCCCCAGCCAGCTGGCTGGGGAATTCTGGGAATTGAAGTCCGTCAGGCTTAAAAGTGGCCAAGGTTGGAAAGCCCTGCATTAGATGACTTTTTTTTGTTTTTAACTTGCACGCCCTGCTGAGTCTCGATTAACTAACAGATTTGCCCGGACATTTTGCTTTTTAAAAGAATAATCACAGCCTATAAACCAAACGCTCTGAGTGTCGTGAGAGAAAGTTTTCAAAAACAAAGCAACGCACAACATTAACGCCGGGCAAACGTTGCGCCTTGCGAGGAATTTACCACACCCGAGTTAAAAGAGCGTCGTATGAACGCAGGCCAATAAAGCTAGTGCGCCAACCACACCACCACCCGGCCACGCATTCACAAAGCGCATGCGTCATGAGATCCCATTGGCACGCTCAAGGTCGTAATTCCACGCCGGACGGGGGAAAAACAAAAAAAACCAACAACGACTTTTCCTGAGATTCCGGAGAAGCCGATAGTTAATCGCGGCTCAGATTTCCTACCTGCTCAAAGTGGCGGCAAATGCTCAGTCCGAACCCGCGCGCGCCGCTCCCGCCGCAGCTCCTGGACGGCCGACTAGAGCCTCGCGCAGGTTCGAGCAGTGCCGTCGGAGGAGGCGGCTTACCTCAGCCGCTCTCCCCGGCCCCACCTTCCAAAGCGGCGGGGCCGGGAAGAGCAGCAGGTGTCCCAGTTAATAGTTGCTGCCTCTCCCTCCTCCTCCTCCTTCTTCTCCTCCGGCTATGTGGGAGACGACCCCCCCCCCCCGCTTCCCCGCGAGCAGAGTGGGTGGGGGTGGGCCATTTGAGCTTGCCTACGATCAGATGGCTTATTTAGTCTGGCACCAGGAAGCCGGGCAAGTAGTACAAGGCAGTCCTCGATTTACAACAGTTGCTTTAGTGACCAGTCAAAGTTCTAACCACACTGAAAAAAGTGACCGAGGATCGGTTTTTCGCAATGACGACTTCCCCTCCCAGGGTCATGTGATCAAAATTCAGAGGCTTTGGCAACTGGTTCATATTTATGACCAGTTGCTGTGTCCCAAGGTCATGTAATCCTCTTTTGGGACCTTCTCACAAGCAAAGTCAATGGGGGAAGCCAGATTCATTTAACAACCGGGTTACTAGCTTATGAATTGCGGTGATTCACTTAACAACGGTGGCAAGAAAAGTCGTAAAATGGGGCACAGCTCCCTTAACAAGGGTCTTCACTTAACCACATACATTTTGGGCTCAGTTGGGGTTGTAAATTGAAGACTACCTGTACACGGGAGCTGTAGCTCAGGCACCTGTTTAACCTTCTGTGGCAAGAAGAGCTGCAGCCTTCGAAGATTTCAGGCCTGTAATCGGAATATTTTAAATGCAGGTAGTCCTTGACTTAATGGACACAATTGAGCCCAACACTTCTGTTGCTAAGTGAAACATTTGTTAGGTGACTTTTGCCCCATTTTACGACCTTTCTCGCCACAGTTGTGAAGTGAATCACTGCCGCTGGTAAATTAGTGACACGGTTGTTAAGTGAAACGGGTTTCCCCATTGACTTTTCTTGTCAGAAGGTCAAAAAATGGGAGCGCATGACCCCTGGAGACTGCAACCTTCGTAAATATGACTCGGTTGACAAGCATCTGCGTTATGATCATGTGACCACAGGGATGATGCAGTGGTGTAAGTGTGGAAAAACGGCGATAAGTCACGTTTTTCAGTAATGTAAATTTGAACTGTCACCTAATGAACCTTTGTAAGTTGAGAACTACCTGTACGGCTGTGCTGTCTAGGCTACCAAACTCCAGATCAGCCCTGGATGTCATCAGAGAGAAATCTGCCATCAGTTGCTCATCTGGATTTACGCAGTCCAGACCAGATTTATTTTGTATGAATGGAAAAGAACAAAACAAAACAAAACCATTCTTCTCTCTCAACTTTGAAACTGGCTACAAGCCCCGAACTTTTTGAAGGGTTGTAATTGGGCATTTTGAAACCAGCAGAAACTGTAATGATGAATTAACAGCCTCTCTGAGATCTTTTGGTTAGGCTGAAACTGTAATTCTCCCAGCCATGAGTTGCTCCTGTGAATTACTTTGAACATTGCAGTGGTATATTGAAGAATAATTTCTGAAAAGAGTTAGCCTGTTGCAGCAACAGTAACCAAGAGGTGTGTAAAACTTTGTAGGCTAATAGACTGTGGTATAATCTTGACACAATAGTTCACTGCATGGAATATTTGCATTTTTGTAGATTCATGCTTGTGTCATCAGTAATGGCATCTCACTACTCTGTCTTCTGGGATTAAATGCTACTGAAGCCTGTAGGAAATTTGAGTTTTAAGTTTTTGGAAATATGATTTGTCTTTGGCAGTTGTGTTTGTGGATGGCCACCTTGTGGACAGTGACAGATTGTTCCACAAACCTGTTCCGTGATGGTTTCTTTTACAAACATTAAAATGGTATTTTAATGTCAGATGTGGACTTTTTGGTGATCTTTTTATTATTCTAAATATTTACACAGTTTTCCCATTGCTTTATGCTGACATTTCAATTTTAATTTCAGTTTATTATCTTGTATAGGCAGAGTGTGAATATAACTATATTTATACCCATATCTCAATAGATAATGAACAAAATAAAGTTTAAGACAAAGTTAAAATACTTTTTAAAAACAACCTAACATTTATATGTCAGGCACAGGATGCAGCCTATATTAAATTATAATGTAGACACTAAAGTTATATTAAGTGTAGTAACTTTTAAAGTTACAAAAAGGTGATAATATCTAGAATTTAAATGAATTATAGGTACTTAGAATATATTTGGCTAGAGGAAAATTTTCCCATATTACTCTGGCATTCATAATTTTCATTATAATGTATTTCAATATCATGAAATTGTACTGTGGAAAAGATAAGAAAATGGCACAGCATTTGCTCTGAATCAAGGAAAGGCTTATCTGGAAATCTCAGAGGAATAGAAATTACTTTTTAAATTCAAAAGCTGTAATCTTGGCAAACACTTCTTTAATAAACTCCTTTAATTATCCTTGCATTTACTGCTGATATGCACTTACCGCTGACAGATATGGGTCAACAAAGCAGAGGAATGGACAACACTTGTAGAATACCAATTGGCAAGTTTCCAGAGCCAAACCTAAGAACAACCTTAGGCTAGGTAAGGTATTATTGTGGGCCAGCTTGTTCTGAAACAAATAGCCGGAAAATGTACAGAGAAAAAAAATGAATTGGTTCAATGGAATGCTCTTAAAAGCACTGTAGATTTGATAAACGTGTGTCACCTTCTCATGCTAAGCAAACACTACTTTTATTCAGGTTGTTAATACTATCAGTTTCCAAATCATGAACTGATTTCCAAGTCTCGTGGGTGTAATGAGCTTTAATTGGTCTGGTTTCTTACATTGCCATTTGAAGGCATTCTGCCGCTCTGCTATTTTTCTTTTCAACACAGCTTCTGGAAAGATGGAAGAGATGGCTGGAAAACATGGAGTTCCAATGAAATCAAGGTGTTCTAAAAATCTGAAATGTTGTGACATTTTGCTTGGAAACATTGTTCATTGCATTGATCCACCTTATGCATGTGAGTCAAAACTCCAAATTAAACTGGTTTACCTAACCCTAACCCTAGCCCTAACTGATCCGGCTTTCCACAATGGAGGCACTGATATATCCAAATGTTACTGATATAGAGAATGTTACCAGATATAAAGATATTTTAAATGAAAAGGGGGAACTTAAAACTAAGCAGGAACTGAGTGATCAAGGGATTGAGATAACATGGTGGTCATATGTACAGATACAATCTAGATATGAGAAGGATGTTAAAATGTATGGTTACAAATGGTGATTATGTAAACCAGAGGACATTGTTGTCATACTGTGAACAAGTGCCAAGTGCCTAGATTGGAATCCCTTCAATGGGGAGGTCGTGGGATGGCTGAAACTTTGAGCATTGGTCATATCCCTTGTTTCGTACTGTTGTAACTTTAAAGTCACTGGATGAGTGGATTTTAACTGAGAACTGTCTATTTGAAGGAAATTCACTACCCATTCCAGCCCAAGTGAAATAGGCTTGCTTGATTCAATTGTTGATTTTTGTGCAATAGGGAATTTTGTTATGAACCTGTAAAGCACATATTTGTTTGGGATAACTTTTATGTTAAAACTAATGCTGTAGACATGTTATTGGCATATCCTTTCGAAATAAACACACAATGCATGTGTGATATCAAGTTTCCCATATTCTACTCCTTTTAGTTCAAAAAGATGGGCTTGAAGGGGTTACATTATACCCTCTATATTCAAGGAATGGTGAGGCCAACTTTGCAGGAATGCTGCCATTAATACGAGCCAATTGTCAGTCTTGATATCTGTTTATGAACCTCTCCTCCCAATGATGTTTGGGGTATCTAGCTAAATTAGGACAATTGATATTTTTAGTTTGAGGATCTATAGGCTGAGCCCTACCAGCCATGGAGCCTGCACTTCCTTTGGGGATGTAGATCAGTGGTTCTTAACCTTTTTCAAAGAATCGCCCCCTTGAGCCATTGAGGAAGTTATCATCGCCCCCCATTCCCCAACATAACCTCTCAATCACAACACAGGGAAATAATTCTTCAATTTATGCAAACACGTTTTTTGTTTTCTTTAAAATTGTCATTAGGACATATCGATGCAAATAATTTATTTCCAGTCTTTTTCACATATCTCAACTGTGTGAAAAATTCTGATGCCACCCATCACTTTACTCCTAAACTTCGTGATACATGTATTTTATTATTATCTTATTTATTCAAGACACTTAAATGCAATGATCACTGAAAACAAAATTCAATTGCAAGAATATGAAATGCCTGAAAAAAACCCAGTAACATTTAATGATTTAATTACAAGTGAATTTTAAGACGCAAAAAGAAATATAAAAAGGGCATAAGAACAAACCGCAATGCAGGAACTAAGAATTTCAAGACGAAAACTCTGAAACTAAATTAAGATTTGAGGAAAATATATATTCATGCACATTGTAAAAAGGGTTAAAAAGAGACAAAATTTTTACAGAAGGAAAGCAACAAAAATCAGAGCGACAAATTTAATGGATAGAGTGATAGAGGCTGCTAGGCGACGTGCATGAAGATGAGCAATGCGTATTCACATATGTATGGCATTCTGTACTGAAGCTAGCTGGAGGAACATTTTAAAACACAGTTCAATCCACTAATAGCAAGCGATCCGATGTTTTTGTATGACAGATACACAGTGGTTCACTGTACGAAAAAAGGTCTCAAAAGTATCCCCAAAACTTATCGCTCCATCACCCCCATATCGCCCCCCTTCCATTCCTTCGCCCCCACGTCGCCCCTTTTCGTTCCATCACTCCCCTGAAAAACTAAATCGCCCCCCTGGGGAGCAATATCGCCCAGGTTAAGAACCACTGATGTAGATGATTCATGGGGTATGTTGTTGCAGGTTAAATTCTGCTATGGAATAAATTGACATCGATTCAGTAGACCATTATGTATTGTAAACCACAGATTTTGAAACTTTTTCAGATCATAGAGTCTGTTAATTAAAAAAAAAACCTGAAATTGCCAATCAAGAGATGAAGATCCAGAAATGGAAAAAGC